TGCACTCAAATTCCTCAGCTATGAGGAACATGGGTATTCATTTTAGTATCCATTTTAGATATCCACTTGAATGGATATCGTGACTGGTATGTCGACGATACCCAGTGTTAGGATATTATGACATCTCTGAATGACACGGATATATTCAGGTCGTGGATTAAGATAGTCAATGGATTTATGAAACTAAATGATCAAATAAAAATAGTATGTTGTATATTTAAGTCTTTTAATGCGCTCATAAGCATGATTTTATTACTATCACGAATTTGAAAGAACGGCTACACATAGTTTATCATAAACATTTATTGTTTGTAGTCCAACAGTAGCAAGTAAACCGAATTCAGCAGGTCCTAAAGGAACGCTGTTTTATCTAACAAATTCACTCATTTGAATATCATCGGCAATATCTCTATACAAAACCTAATATCTCTTGATTCAATGAAGACTTAGAAATAATACGAATCCTTTTTTCATCGAAATCATTTTGTTTAGTTGCATATCGTTCATGAACTTGTGTATCATCAATTTGAATAGTATAACATTAACAGTGTCGGGTAATTTAGCACCTAAACATTGACCTTCCACAAGTGATGTACTAGTATGAATTAAAGGAGTTTGAATTCACATTTTCTTCTCAAGCATCTGAACGTTCACTATTCACGCTGTAGACAACTAATCAGCTATCTAACATTTGATTAACATATTAGTATGCCATAGCTATTTCAGCACGTCGATTTTGAATCAAATATGTTGCATGTTGTAGGACTGAATAAACAAAATCTAAGCAATTCTTCAACGGAACGAAAGATAACTTGGCTTATGTAAGACAGAATAATATTTAATACACACTACACCACCTTTACTGCTACTACTACTACGACTGGTCTAGATAGAAAAGACACACTGAATTTCAACTCAAAAGCATAGCCATGTGAGCAATTACCAATGACTTCGTAATCATTGTTTCCCACGTCAAACAATCCGACAATCTGTGTCTGGTTTTTTGACCTGGGACAGTAATTGTATATCGCAAAAGTTTAGTGCATTTATCAAGCCATTTTGTCTCCTGGGACGAGACGAAAATTTTTAGTCCCATCCCACGCGGAGCCCTGATACAAATATCTAACAATATTCTCTATTTGTGTTATACAACAATTTTGTTTTCAGTAAAAGTTTTATTTTATAAATTAATACTTTTCATCTAAATAATCGTCTCCGTAGAACAAACACATGATGTTTGGTTTTGTATTGGATAGAGAACGAAAAGGTCTGGTTAATGTACTTCTCTCAATACAATCATGAAACAAATCATCTTTCTTATCAATGATCATTGAAATAAACAAATAGCTCACATTACTATTCTTTATTGTAATCGATTACGATGTCATCGAATAAAGATTTTCAAGTTTATTTAACGGGTGGTTTTGCTGCCATAGGAGGACTTCTATTCGGCTATGATACTGGAGTTATCTCAGGTGTACTTACAATGTCAGATTTTCTTCTGGCATTTGGTGGTCCAGCTGCTGTTATACGTGGCTCATTACCAAGTTCTATTTCGGGTTCCATTGTGGGTATTATGCTTGTTGGTTGTTTTCTTGGTGCACTTTTAGCAGGTCCAGCGGGTGATCGTTTTTCACGAAAATATTCCATAGTCATTTTTTCCTTGGTTTTTATCGTTAGTGCTATTTTACAAACAGGATCATTCAATTTGTTCATGCTACTTCTATCACGTTTTGTTGCTGGTAAAATGTTAAATAGGATTTAGATAGGATTTTGTTTTTCATTCCAATATAGGAATATCGGTTGGTGCATTATCAATGCTTGTACCCGTATATCAATCAGAAATAGCTACGAAAAATATTCGTGGACGACTTATATCATTGCAACAATGGGCTATTACAATAGGTATTGCAATTAGTTTTTGGATAAATTATGGTAAATAACGAATATGAAAATGAAATGAAAAAAATTATTTTATATATTAATCTATCTCAGGTACCAATGTCTGGTTTTTTGGTACTAGTGCTGCATGGCGTATACCATTAGCATTACAAATCGTTCCTGCCTTGACTCTTGCAGTTGGTATTCTATTTTTTCCATTTTCACCACGTTGGCTGATGGCAGTAGGTCGTGATAGTGAAGCATTACGTGTTCTCAGTCAAATTCGTTCCGTTTCATCAATTGAATGTCTTGACGAATATAACGATATAAAAAATGAAATTGATCTTGAGCGTGAACAAGCTGTTAGATCTTATGCACAATTTTTTTATCCACCACTTCGTCGTCGTCTAATACTTGGTGTAAGTATACAAATTCTACAACAACTTACGGGTATTAATTCTGTTATGTATTATGCACCGGAAATTTTCAAACAAGCTGGTTTAAACGATCAAGGCGCATCGTTACTTGCAACAGGCATTAATGGATTTGTATTGATTATTGCAACGATACCAGCTATTTTATATATTGATAAATTGGGTCGACGTTTTATATTGATCAGTGGAGCACTACTTATGACGTTATCAATGTTAATTATGGGCGGAACGATGGGAGTTCATGGATATACACATTTTAATGAAACACTCGGTACTGTTCAAGTTATTATACCAAATCAAACAGCATCTTATGTTATTATATTTTTTGTTTACGTATTCGTTGCATCGTTTGCATTTAGTTGGGGACCAACTGCTTGGGTTTATTGTACAGAAATTTTTCCATTGAGTATGCGTTCGAAAGGTACGTCAATAACAACAGCTGCTAATTGGGCAACGAATTGTATAGTTTCATTTCTTGTACCAGCACTACTTGAAAGTCTTACATATGGTACCTATCTTATTTTCGGTATATTTTGTATTATTATGGGTACTATAATATTCTTATTTTATCCGGAAACAAATGGCAAAAGTTTAGAAGATATGGACCTTGTTTTTGGTCAATCAATATTGGCTGTTAAACCATGTGGAGAAAAAGTAAAACCTCGAATGAAATCTAAAGAAAAACATGGAATTCACACAAATCAAGCATTTTCGCACAATGAACCTGTTCAGATTTATCGTTTTTAATTTAGTGAATGAATAAAGTAGAATAATGTGCATGATTTTTTTTTCCGAATATTTATGTATGATAGATTAGAATGAAATATCAACATTAGAGATTTTTATTTTTGATATTCTATTTTAACTGTTGGTGTAGAAGATATTAATTTTGATTCAAATAAACAAATGAGTACAGACAAGAATAAAAATAAAATTTAACACTCAACCTACGATTTGATTACTGGCAAAAATTAAAGCTTATATTTTTGTTATTATGATAGATGGTGACCTCTGTCGATATCATCTATATGATGACGATTGTTGCTGTCAGAACGATAATATATTAGTCATTGTGACTCCAATTATGTATTGCTTGTGCATTACAACAGATTCTATAATTTTTTAAATATTTTCTTTAGCCATGATTGAATAGAAACCTTTGCTTGTTGTCTAATAGTAAAAATGGATTGGAAATCGGATATTATATGTCAATTGAAAGACGAAAAACAACACTGGAATGTGTATGATGAGATTGTAGAACATTGTATGTGATTTCGATATTGCTCAATCATATTTGATTTCGTTTCTTCATATATTCAATAGATAATCGTCTTCTGGACAGCAATACTAATCTTCAAATACGATGCGTTAAATTTGAAAATGATGTTAATCATTTGCGTTTAGCTAATGCAGGATTAGAGAAAGCATCAGAAGCTAGGTTAGTTTGCTTACGAGTAAATATCTCAAGTATTGATTTATTTTATTGTCTTTCCAGTCAAGCATTAGCAAATGTTAATAATAAATTAACAGTAGCCAATGAAGAAGTTATTATGCATTTACGAGAAAAGGGAGAAGTAAATTAGACAAAGAACCAAATCATTTTATGTAAAACTTCGAATGATCTATTTTTAGCTCGCAAGAGAAGTTCTTCGACTAAATCATGCATTAAAAGAATCCAATGAAAAATCGACTGATAATGAAATTAAGTGTGTATTGAGGAATCAGAAAACAAAAAAAAATCAACTATTGATAATTTTATGGTTTTAGACTTCAACAGTATAAAAATGAAAGCGAAAAATTAATGAAGACAGTCGAAAAATTAGAATGTGAAGTCAAAGAACTGGTGGAAATAAATGAAGTAATTATATATTTTATTCAGTATGAATCAACAATGTTTTTCTTATCTTAGGTTCTTCGAGAGGAGTTTTCAGCTGTTCAAAATCAATTTGACCAATTACAAGTAGATTATAATCGGATAAAACCATCTTTTCGTGAACTTGAACTAGAATTAGAAAAAGAAAAAAGGATAAATGCACAACGTGAAACAGAACTCATTGAATGTAAAAAAGTCCAATTAGAAATGCTCAATGCTGAAGTTGAACGGTTTAGTAGGTAACGTAATTTTTTTCCACCGAAACCGCTCAATAAATTTGAAGCGTAGTTTACAGAGATTGTAGGTCTCAGTAATTTGCATATTTCTCATAAGATATTCAACAGAACGAAGTAGTATAACTGATATTCGTTTTTCGAATTAATGAGTCTATTGCATCTGTCACTGTCAATTAAGTTTTTTTTTATACTCGCTGCAATCAATATCTTTAACAACACAACATGAGCTTTTAAACGAGAAGATTTCATAGAAATAAATGTAATATGAAAGTTTTAAAAAAATCGAACGATTTTTTCTGAAGAACCGAATAAAATGTAGCAGCGCATCTAAATGAATGTATATGCTTGCCATAGATCATAAATGGGGTTTTTCGAAAGCTTGATGATCAATAGAACTAAAAACTAGTATTCATTTTCTTCTTGTTGCAGACGAACTGAACAGCGTCGCACATCGGAAACTGCAGATGGTGGTATGAGCTCGATTTCAAGGGACCAACATTCAAGTAGTACCGTTTGTAGAAACTCCAATGCTGCATCAATGATGAATAGTGATACAATGTCAATTTCTTCGGATGACTCATCGAAGCGAGAGGGAAGAAGTACCACAAGCGGTTCAATGTCTGGAGGAGGAAGTTTATTAGGAAGTATTCGACGTATATTTGCTCCAGGTGCAATCAATACTACAAATGATAAACTCTATCGAACATCGGCATGCTATGTTTCAAGTTCTGTTCCAACACATGAAGTCCATCATTGGGTAAAAACATCAAATATAAAATTTTGCTTTGATTCATCTATGCAAGGTCTAATTAGCTCTAATTGTATATATGAGAATCTTTACTCGTACATTTTTGCCGTAGATAATATGAATAGTTAAGTAAATGCGCAGAATTTATTTCAGTCTAAAACAAAAATCTGAGAATGTTATCTATTCGTTGTATTCTACTATTGTACGCATTCATTTTGTTGATCTATTCGTAAAGTTCAAGTCGGCCAACAACTATTCGAAAACTTCCTAGACAGATGACGATAGTTATTCCCTGAGAAATACCATTATTCTTAATTGTATTTATTCTTTTCGTTTTTTTTTATAAATATCTCATGGGTCTATAAATCTCATATGTATTGATCAAGTTTTTCTTTCGTGTTGTCTAGAACAATACTAGAGAGAGTCAGAAGATTAATTATCCTTTCTTGACTATAATTCTGTTATGCATAAGAATACGAAGACGGCGTATTTATCAAAAATTGACTTGGCGCTTTTCGTCACATACAATCATTTTATACTGAAATCGATTTATCATAGATAGGCAAAAGAAAACTTTCCTTATACTTTAGGATTGCACTGAATTAGAAGTCTATACTCTTCTATTTCAACCATCGGGATCAATCTTAGCGACAGGATGTAGTGATAAAATGGTTCATCTATGGGATGTTTCATCGACAGGTCAACCGTATAAATATGGTTCACTTGGTGGTAGTCTTGGAGCAATCAATGCACTTGATTTTGATAATGAAGGAGTAAATAGATTATCATGTTTACACTTTATTTTCACTATTCACTAAATGATAGGCTCGTTTGCTAGCTGGCTGTTCAAGTGATACAGCATACATTTGGTCATATAGTGATAATCGAGCGCTTAAACATACATTCACCGGTCATAGTGGTATTATACATACTTGTAAATTTATTTCTGGAACTAAATTAGCAACCGGTAGTGCTGATCGTTTAATTAAAATATGGGATTTACAAAGTCAACAATGTAAAATTTGCTTTCAAAAACATATATTTTAATTTTCTCTACGATTTTTTTGAAGGTACACGAAATTTATTTGTCGGATCCAAATGTCACGATTTAGTTGTAATAGATGCAATTGGTACAATGATAAGTGGACATTATGATAAAAAAATTCGTATATGGGATGCATATATGGATAAATGTCGAACTGAATTACAATGTAATGCAGCAGTTACGTCGTTATACTACAATGCCGGTATAGAAAAAAACGAATTCTTGTATAAAAGTTGCATGTCTTTTTTTTGTTTTCTATAGAAAAGCATCAATTATTAGCATGTTTAAGAGATGATACACTTAAATTAATTGATTTAAGACAAAATAATGTTCTATATACATTTAATCATGATGATTTCAAGGTGAGTACAGATACAAATAAAGCTGTCTTGTCACCGGATGGGCGCTATGCGTGTGTTGGTTCTCAAGATGGAACTATATTTATATTTAATACGACAAATGGAATGTGTGAGAAAGAATTAAGCAAAAAGCATACGTATGCGATAGGCAAATGTTTGATTTAGGATTTTATTTTTATCTTTGTAGAACCATGGTGACTTCCGTAGCATGGCATCCTGAAGGACGATTTGTAGCTTCTTGTGAAAAACATCGGCGCGTAGTTCTTTGGAGCGATTAGAATTTTTATTTATTATCAGAAATTGCAACATTTTTGTGATACTACGACAAAAGCCATGTACATATATATATATATATATATTGTTCTAATGTGTAAAATTAGACCAATAACTTCTATCATGTGTACGTCAATCATATTTGTTTTTTTTAATTTACCACTTGTTATTTTTCTTAGGTTTCGAAGGGTGAAAATGAGAGTTATTTATAGAGCATATAATCATAAGAAATATGGCAAAGATAATCCCCACGTACTGATCTTAGACGCTCTATGCTTTTCAAAATTGTTAAATCTATTTTTAAATGCCATTGATCAGCCCGCGTCTCTAATTGAGCTAATTTTAGACGAAAAAAAAAACTGCAAACGGCATAGACTAAACAATAAGATAAAATGTATGATTTATCTGTGTGATAGAAATCATAGGCAAATCTGTACTTGAGATGTTAGCTTTTTACTCTCGACAATCCAGACTAATTTTGAATGATTTAATTTGTCTCTGCTTTTTTTTGTAATTGATTCCTTTCATATGCATTTCAATAAAAGTTCTTATACTTTCGAGATAGAGGTTTTTCGTTATCTTGTTTTTATGGCACCAAAGAACTCAAAGTTATTACAAATACTCAAAATGTACTCGAGACCAAAATGCAGCTTTCCGATTGAGAAGAAGTACCGAACTTTAAATATAGATATCAAGGTTACAATAACATTCTCTGCCCGCAGATAATGTATGCCACTATCAACATTATAATGGTTTATGGAATTTCTATTTTCATAAAACTGAATATTGTGTGCGTTGCTGAAGATGTTAAATTGTTTTTTCTGTCTTGTGAAAAATAGAAATTAAGATTAATAGATTTCTCTTTCGCATTCTTTCCGCGTATGATGAAACATATTATAATTACCACCTTACGTGACGAACACAAATTGCCAGTGGGCATAATTCACAAGCCAAATGACGTGCCACTATTACTAGTCATTTACAATCTAAGCAGCTGCATCTTGTTGGACATTTTTATTCCATAGAGATTAGCCTAATGTGTTTTTACTTTTCAAATTAATTTTTCGCATTTCATATGCATCAAGAAAAACCAATGAGCTGTAATGGTTTCAAGGTTATTCGGACATGAACTTCTGTTTGATATCACTAAATGATAATTCATCAGTTCATAGAAGTTTGTTGTCATATGTAAGTCAAGGACTCTTAATACTATTGAGAAGGTTTATCTGTCATGCAAATGTTTTCAAAAGTATTGCGAAAAAATAATTTCCATCTGGTTGAAAATTGCTAATGTCGTGCCTTGTATATATATATATATAACACTTTCCTGTACTTTTATCTTATCTTTATGAGATAAAAATATGAAACATGACAGAGTTGCGTTTATTTTTAGTGTGGCAGATTTTGCAAATTTGTTTTTATCTTCTGCTTCTTTTGACTTATTAGTCGAGATGACGCATGACACAGATCTATTTAAACTTATGGGTTATATGGGTTAGGCGAGCTAAATGCAGACTCCATATCAAATGCATAAGTAAGTCAGACGGGATGTTTTTCTTTTTAGTTTATACCGATTTGTCTGAAACTAGGAAGCGCCTGCTTTCTATTATTATTATCATAGGCTAATGAGGAAAGTTTTCTAGTTGATTAATTGCTGTTTGAATCGAGACAATATGCATCGTTGAAAATCTAATTAGTTATAAATATTCTGAAAAGAGTTCGTGCTCGTATTTTGTAGGGATTTTCTTTTTGTCTTATGTTTTTTATTCTTTTATTAAGAGCGACATTTCTTTCAAGAACTGTTCTTTGAGTTTCGTCATACATGTAGATTCTAATTAGCGTAGTTTATTATCAATATTCTAATCTTTACATTGCTCCTTTCTTTAAATGCCGCCAAGATAAAATCATGTCTTCTATATTATTTATATACACTAGTGAACTCATTGTAATTATATGAGAAAGGAATCAAAAACAAACATAAAAGAATCTCTCTCTCGCTCGCTCTAAGTAATATTTGGAAATCAAGTCCACCGATGTTCCTATATGTCAATGTGATACGATGCTAAAAATGATGATATACAAGTAGAATATTTAAATAAAAGTATAAACTATTGTCAGTATATTCAAACGAAGTCTCCTGATGCCCATTAGCTTGCCAGAAAAGAAATTAATCAATTGTGGACTTGTCTTGGAATGTTCTGTGGTTGTAAATAGATTATCTACATGTATTCCCATGCTATATAATCTTCTTCATTAGGCAACCGACAATAAATTTTCATTTTTCTATATGCAATTTTATATTTTTGTTCGTATAAAATAAAAGTTGCAAAGCAGAACAAGAAAAAAAAAAGAGAAGACACAAATATGAGAAGACAAAATGCTATGAATTGCGTAAAAAGCTCACACGCACACTTACACACGCGCACGCACACAAACAAATGAAAACACAAAAATAAAATGGCTCGTCAAGTTTTGTTCTATTTTTGATATATAATATTTGAGAAACCGGTTATGAGCATTCAATATGTTCACCGTCATCTATCATTAGAAAAACTCTTTTGTTTTTATTTGTCTAGATGTGTATCACAGCGTATCACACGGCTGCTTTAGGATTGCCGCTATTTCTTTTAGAAGGTGTCATATTTGTTGGTATTGGCAATTGTAATTGATTTTCTCCATAAGTATTTTCTAAATATTCTTGCCGTCGAACTTTTTCATTTAAACCTTTACAACGACAACAGATTATTTCACGAAATGGTATTCGAAATTCTCGATTAAATTTGGAATAAATTAATGGGTTTAACATTGATGCTGAATAACCAAACCATAATAAAACTGAATCAAGCCACGGTGGTGCATTTAATGCTCTTGCTGGACCTGATAGACCTGTTATATATTCATGTAGAGGTTTTATTATTGCAAACGACATAAATGGAAGCCAGCAGACTATAAATGTTCCTAAAATAACACCAAGTGTACGTATCGCTTTTTGATTTGGTAAATGAACATGGCGAAATATTGAATAACGACGTTGAACAAATACGGATAAACGACCATTGAATGGTTGACTTAAGCGACGACCTAAACATCGTGCTGGAGATAAAAGACGTGGTGATTTTGATCCCTGTGTTGGACTGTTTTCTGAACGTTTCGATATTCGTTTTCCACCTGCTGTTAATGATTGTTCTTCATTTAGATTTGAATGAGATACATTTAAAAATAATTGCGGAGATGAACAACTATTTCCATTTAATTGCTGTTGTGATAGCAAAGCGGCTGTTTGTCCAATGCTTGTCGATGTACTATTACTGGTTAAAAATTGAGACATTTGAACACTTGATCGAGAATCCATAGCTGTTCGAGCTGTTCGATAAATATTAGCATAGATAATCAGTACAGCAATAAGGGGAATGTAAAATGAAAGCATCGTTGCAAATACTTGATAGTGTAATTTAGGATTTACTTGGCAAATAGGTAGGTTCTCAGATGGACCTAAAAATTCAAATAAAAAAATTCAATTATACCGAAGTAAAATCTTAAGAAATTTGTAAATTTTCGAAATAGAAAAAGGTTTTAGTATATAACCGTCTTGTGTTTTACTAAATTATAATTTTTCGGTTAAACGAAAAACTTGACTGAAATAACTTTCTGAGTTGTTTGCTATTTTAATCTAGAAATTACATGAATATTTGCTACTTACGTCCCCAACCTAAAATAGGTGGTAATGAAACAAGTGCACTGAGTATCCAAACACCGGCTATCATTAATGAAAGTAATTTAACTTTACGCATTGGAGCATATTTAAATGGATGATTAATAATACAATAACGATCGATTGAAATAACAAGAAAATTCAATATTGATGAAGTACACAAGAGAACATCAGTTGATGTCCATAAGTCACACATGATTGAACCTAAAAGCCATCTGTAATTTGATATTTCAAGCACTAGAAAAATTAAAATAGAAAATAGAAATAAATTTCAATAAATATTTTTTACCCATAGCTAATGGCATGATAAATAAACCGACTAAAATGTCACTAACAGCAAGACTAACAATTAATATATTGGATGCTGTTTGTAATTTTCGTACAAGACAAACAGCAAGTATAACAACAAGATTTCCGACAATTGTCACAAGACACATTAATGAACAAACACTAAGAATTATAATTATTTGAGCCTTAGTACGACTTTCTTCTTCATGATATCCTGAAATATTTGTGCTATTAATAAGTTCATTGTTGAGTACTGTTGTTGACAGTATTGTTGACGATAAAATAGATACTGTTGCATCTATTCGCCGTCGAGAATTATCAAACATTGTTGTTGTTGTTGTTGTTGTTCCATTTGTCGTTATAATGGAAGAAAAGGGTGGAGCCCGTTGTTCTTGTTGATTGACAACTTGTTGTTGGACAGCGGCGACTGATGAAAGCAAGGAAAAAATTGATAAAAACGAAATAAATATTGATGTACGCCTTGAATAAATCACCGGCTGAAAACTTGATAACGACAGTCGACTGATTCGACGACTGCTTAAAAAAGCCAATATCGACTCTTAAAAAATAACACAAACAATGAATGAAGATCTTAGCCTGTCTTAGACACATAACAATGAATTCACTCTAATTACAACTACAATTTCTACACGAATGATTTCTTTACTTCCTTCGTTCAGAGATAAATAAATTTATAAAAAAAAAATGTATTCATCACGCCGGAGATTACTTAGTTATTTATAGTAAATTTAACTTTATGCTTCTTTCAAACAGTAATAAACAACAAAACAAGCACAAAATGGGTCAAAAAGCGCATTCTATCATTAACTGATAAGATTTCAAATAAATAGCTATTGATAAAACCTTATTGCATTTTTTTTTCCCAATAAATCTTTAATGTCTATAAAGATAATCTCTGCGTTATTATTTTTTTTCTTCCGGATAATTATCCTACGCGTTTTAATCATCAAAAAATAAATAAATAAACGCTTGTTTGTATTATCTCATAAATCCTAAGCATTGAACTATTTATTTTAATAACTTTACTTTAACAGAAAAAAATTATGTTTTTGATTTTTTAATATCCGGCAGTAACTGAATCGACTTATCAACGCCTTTCTATCGTAACATTGTATTAATCTTTTACTTGGAATATTTTGACGTGAAAGAATGTGAGCAATTCAAATTCTATAGCTAACGGGGATATTCTAAATGCCTGCACAGTTGACAATTCCTACGCAAAGAGGCGTAATTGAGGGTCAACATGAACTAAACCCTCCCTGCAGGATAGAAGCCCATGGGTGGTGTTTCTGTTCCGCAACCTATAATTTTGTAATAAAGTATGCCCTGATGCCAGTTTTTACGTTATTGGATAGAGAAATGCTCATCCTTTCATTTTTCATGAACTAAACGCTGATTTTCAACGAATAAATCTAACGCAGACGTAGGCTTCTATTCTGTGTCGGAGTTTAATTAATATGTGAACAAAACTAATTACAGTCAATCGAGCTAGATTTCAAAAGAAATCAAATGTTTGTTTGAACTTTTTTCTGTATGAAAAAGATTAAATGAAATCCTATCCCAAGCCGATGCGCAGTAAAAGAACAGTGATTGAGTAGACAGTATCATTTATGAATCAATTAAAATGAACATTCTTGTGTTACTGCAAGCAATATCCTATTCGACTGATTGACATATGAAAAATGACAGGAAGTGAGTATCAGTGGGTCTAAGAGCGATACATATACAATCTTGAAACGTCACTTTTTTTTCTTTTTCTACTTCTTTTGAGTTACAGCGAACGTCTAAAGACAGTTATTTTAAATTAAACAGTAAATTGAAGGCTTGCAGAACGTAATTATACGTTTAATCACTTCGTTAGATTAATAATATCATGATATCTATCGTCTTTGATGTGTTCCTATTAATTATAAAAATTACTCTACAGAGCTACGTCGATTCATAGGAGACTTTATGTTTCGATATGCTCGGCTATATAGATTCAACAACTGTTTTCTTTCACTTTCTCTTGTGATAGAAAACCTATTGAGTAATTCTTTTATCACTAATTAATTATTTTCCTTCTTTTTTCTTCCTCATGAAATTCAATTACTCTAACAGCGATTATAATATTAGTTTACTTCTGATTTAATCTATTAAATGAACATAGTTTGAATAAAAAGGCATAGTAATTATTTATAAAAACATTTAAACTACAAGAAGAAGCTTATTCTTTTTCGAAATTGGAATCTTAAGCCACATAAATGATTCTAATTTACTCATGTATTTTAGGGACTTCACATTTCACTACGATTCACTACGAGATTTACTCCTTAATTTCAATGACGTCAGTAAATATATTTTAGATTGAAGCATAAGACACGCACATTCTCATGATGCTAAAAGAAAATCAATCTCAGCATAAGTTTTCCTAAGCTTATTTCTAACCCTATTATATCATCGAGTAACTATATTGCATCATGAGAAGCATTAGAAACGTTCTCTAGATTCTAATGAGTTTTTTTATTTTTACAAAATTAAAAAAAATTCTTTCTCATCCATATGCTACTAATATCTTTTAGCATTATAGATAATCGACTTAGGTGAAAATAGCAAATTTACCATTGGTCGTATGCATTGCTGAGTCATGATATACAAACATGTTCTAAGATTAACAAACGATCAAGAATAGTAAAACCTCAGTATTTGATTCGCTTTGTTTTCACGGTCAAGAATAGTTCTGATTTTGTTTTATAGAAACACTCAAGGAAGAAACGCGCCTAAAATGAAATTCAAAACATGTCGTCGAAATGTTTTGTATGCATAATAGCAAACAAGTCTCTATACGAAACTACGAAACATACTAATACTTTTACACACACACGTACACACATATATATATATATTAATGCAAAATATTTACCATAGCTTTTCATCGTGCATGGTCAATAATAATGTGAAGATGAGCACGGAAGAATCCTGATGAACCAACAAGAGGATTGATATAGACTTCAATAGTCAAGTATCAACGAAGAGTTTATCTAGAAATAGAATAGCAATCATAGAAGAAGGAGAAGAAGAAAAAGCAATAAAAATATCTTCATCAATTTGATAACCTAGGGTTATGTTCTTCTCATAGCATTAATAGATGTTAGCGAACTTCATTCTTTTCTTAGAGGTACGATAAAAAACGAGACACGTACGTTTTACGAGAGAGCGAAAAATAGAGTTTTTCTTTCTTCGCCTGTTAAGACAATATATTTCCCGCTGTGTATATTATAATATTGAAATAGTTGTTATGTCTCTCTATGATCTTTTGTTGTTTATTACTTTTGTTATAAAAAAAAAGAATCGTCAATGTATATATGTTGACAAGCGAGATATTACGGATGACAACGATCCTAAGTAGTTTCGTACGAATGGCTTAAAAGACGAGGCTAATCTTGAATATTATCTATCTATATGCTGTCATATTCGGTTTGCATTCGACTACAATTCACGTGTTTCAGTGCCCCATCCTATAGCCATTATTTGATACGAGAAAAGAAGAAGTAATCGAGAAAAGAAAAAAGAAAAAAAGAAGAAGAAAAAAAGAGAAGAAAACTAGACATTCTCGTCTTTCATATGTAATCGTGGATCGGCTGGTTGTTAGAATAATTAGGAGAAGGTCTCTTCCATATTTCTTTTTCTCTTCTCGGTTTTCCTTCTCCCTTCAATTTCTCTTACATCACCATTAGTTTATAGATATATACACAGAGTAGCGGCTAATTTGAATGCTTGGCCAAATTCTGGCGAGCGAGAACGACCCGAACAGAGAAAAACACAGGCGCTCACGTCAACCAAGACACCATCAACAGAATGATGATGAATACTTGTAGGACAGACAGACAAACAACAACGACTGTTACGTTAGAACCAACAAAGCAAAGCAAAGCAAAGCAGAGAGAAGAAGTAGTAGAATATAAGATTGATTTTGTCGGGCAGGCAAGATGTTCCTCATACACACTTGGCAATGTGCGACCACTGTGTCTACAGCTCTTCTACTTTTCTGTTACAAGCAACGGTAATATAGTACAATCTATCTCATTCGCCAGTTGGAAGACGTCCTTCATGCAGCATGCGTACGCGCATGTATATTCATATATATCTATATACACATCAAATGTATCTATTTCTAAAAGCGACATGGCAAAACGTCGGTAAAAGATCATCACTAAATTTGGTGTTGATGCATTATTTCTGCCTCTCTTCAGCATTCACAAACCCACGAATAATAGTAACTAATATATCGATGTCGGCTTTTCTCTTTCTTCATTTCGCGCTTTATTGGTATCTACGAACTCACTCGGGGCCCTATGAGCAGACGAACGAAGAACAAACGCTCGGGACTTTCTAGCCGTATCTTTTTTGCTTTTTACTTAACAAATATAATAAACATCAATCGTTCGATTGATCAAGGTGCTTCTGTAGATCGATGCTCATCTTCCTTCAAAAAGACAGCGATAATAATATCTAGCAATTGCTATCAATAACTGATGAAGAAGAAGAATGATCATCATCATTATTAAAATATAATTTTCCGCTTGTTGACTCGAATACCAGACATAAGCGAAAGGATACTATCCTTAGAAAAAAAATATATAAATAGATACATATTTTGTGACGAGCAAACACTATTTGTTATTATTGTCAAACAGAACAGAGAGAAAAAAAAGAAATATTGATATTCGACAATGTTGATCTTTATACAGCTGGTTATTTTTCTTTTTTTTGGTAAGCAATTCATATTTTAGTAGTCATTAGGCAAATCTGTTAAGAGATGTCTAAATCTATTATCAAATAGAAACGTGGTAAGTTACCATATACAACTACGAATAGATATAATTACTACCCATCCGGTTTCTTTTACGTAAGATATATGATACAATCAAAAAGTCGATCTGTTAAGATAAACATCTAGCTCATTTCGAATTATTAAGATTTCTTTTTTTCTCTCAAGAATACACCTTACTGTTACACCTGGTTTATTACACTTTCAAGTGTATGAAATTAATGAAAATTTTAAAAATAGACTTTTTTCTTTTTCTAAGTACTCCATCGACTGCATATATACGTATATATAGAGCATGCCATGGTAACTTAAGATGATGTCGAGTGAATTTATGTTAAAGTAATATTCGTACAGTGCATTTGACTCCGTTAGATACTACACATGAGTAAACCTTGATGATGATGATGATGATGATGATGATGATGATGATGATTTTCAAAAAGAGAAGTAAGAGCTCTCTTGCTCTCTATCACAATGTATGTCTAACATCAAGCTTCCGGCTCTTACTCCTCTTTATACTAGTGCACATCTTATAAGAACAAGAGATATCATTGAAAACTCATTTTGTGCTTGTCTGTGCAAAACAATATGTCGATCTTTTGTCTTTTCTATTCCAAGAACAAGCACTTAAAGACACGATAACTTCCTCATTTCTTGTTGTTTTTGTTTTATAGGTCTATCTACGTTTACTGCTTTTCTAGTAGTCAAATGCATGAATGAGTCTCAATGTGTGCGCGTTTGTGTGTGACAACAAGTAGTTGACTTCTGACACGTGAGGAAAAACGTTCACAGTGCGATTAGTTTACATTTCTTCTGTTTATCTCGAAGACAATTTTGATGGCGACACTCAAGACATCACAAAGAAGTATCACGAAATGTTTGATTGCCATTTAAATAGATAGAAAAACTAGAATAATTATTATTGTTTTTGGCAGCTACCTCATAACATCATCTTCAGTCTTACAGGTGTGTGTGACACGTAACACATCGTTGTTTATTATTCAGACTGTATTATCATTGTTGTTCATCTTATCATTCCGATTAACATTATTAAGAATGAAAACAGACAACAAATGTAAAGAAGAAGAAAAATTCAACTAAAATAACTTACGGCAATCCATGCCATTTTACGATATCAAACTCGGTCGGTCAACATGCAAATAACAACATAAATATATACAGATTCTTCTCCGCTATTCTTTCCCTCTCTCGCTCTTTCCCTCTTGTGTCTTTACTACTTTCCTTTATATACGTTGACAACTTTCATCTTTACTCGCTTTTTCTCTATTACAAGCATGCGGTCTCCTATAAAGGAAACATGCAACAACAGTAAGAGTTAATATCTATTTTTTCCTGACTTCTTCTTCGTCGTCGTTTTCACATACTTGCGCATTTGTCAGGCTCTTGGCCGAATAACTCAGTCGGTGGTGTTGTGTCGGATGTGGTCGTCGTAGAGGCGGAAAACTATGGGTCGCCGCTATTTTGAAAATCATGCCTATACACATACAAACATAACCAGCTACAGTTGTAGTATTACATTAGAGAATAAACACCCTCAAGAAACAATCTAGTAGAATATATATATACATATATAAACATACGTATGTGTGTAAATGATGTGAAAACTGTAAAAATTTCATCGAGTTTTATATTCTATCGTTTACATGTCGTTTCATAGAGCTTAAAAAATGACTCATGCAAAGAAATTTTTATTTTTTTAAGAATTTGATCTTTGTTTGAGTAGTTTGGCTAACTCATATTTATTACTATAAATTCACTTGCGCTACGGAAACTCTTCAATTTCAATGGTCTCTTTTTTTTCTCAACTATTTGAAGTATTTTATTTTTATTGATCACGGGACATTGAGTTGAAAACTACTATACGGCTAATTTATGGCTAATGAAATGCAGTAAATGTTATCGCGTATCTATATAGTTCTAAGATGTCTAAAAGTATATTTATGGCTAGCTACCTTTATAGGCCTATGTAATTTCTTTTTCTTCTGCTGAGACAAGAAAAGAGCAAGTGTCATATCCTATTAGAATCATCTGATGGCAAACAAGAAAAATACCTAGTTAGCTATTTTTAGAAATTCTTGTATTATTGAGGAAATTGACATTTTTCTGATTAGAACGACATAAGACATTTTTATCAAAAATACTGTTGTACATAGAGAAACTACTATTATTGCTCTTCTACATCAGAACAAAATAAGTATCAGACTCGAAAACTGTACAAAAACACTACTTAAGCCTATATTTTAGCAAAAAAAAAATGAAGAACAAGAGGACAAACATCGTTCTCTAGAGAGTAGACGAGCGAAAGTTAAGACATAAACTATTGCTATTGATAAAATATTCTTTTTCATTTAAGAAGGTGTTTGTCGCAAACGTAAATATGATCGAATATGTATGTGGTTTTTCATCTTATACTAGCGCATCTTCCTGTAATGTTGAAGTGTAATAACAATAAATTTGCTATGTAAAAAGAATATTTTCTATAACATGAATTTTGTCGTTGTAATCAGAAAAAATATCAATTTTCGCAATAACAAAATAAAATCTAAAAATAACTAAAATAGGTGTTTTTCTTATTTGCCATCATATGGTTCTAATTGTATGTGACATTTTCTATTTTCTAGACTCACAGGAAAACTAAGCGGACATCTAGAGGTGATTAATAATATATGTTTTCATGCATGTTGCGTCTATCGATATGCAGTTATATATTCTTAATTCTATTTCCATCTGAATATAATCGCATAGCATTTTTCCTTTTGTGCTCAACCACCATAAAATATTTTCAAACGATTGAGAAAAAAGAGACCATTGAAATTGGAGAGTTTCTGTAAAGTAAGTAAATTCATGATTAGACATACGAATCATTTCTTAGTTAACCGAATTACTTTAACAGGAGGACGGGGGAGGGGGGGAGTGAGACGGCGAGATTAGATTCATACAAAAAATTTCTATTTGTGGCTCACTTTACAATGTTTACAACAAATTTCTCTGTAAATGACCGAAAATAAAATGTACTGAGACTTTACAGATTTTGTACATAGTTTGCATTCAGTGATAAGCAGACAAAAGGGAACAAGATAGTATTTGTCATTATGAAGTATGCAGTAATGATAGCATAGAAGAGTAGAAAAGCAGAAGAGCAAAATTGAATAGTACCGAAAAAGCAACCAAAAAAAAGAAAGTAATAGTTTTACGTGTGTTTCTTTTCGTCGTAGTAGAAACTTACCGCTTACAACATTTGAATCCACAGATGAACGTATCAATGATGAAAATGTATATGCAAAAAAACAATCAGCATCATTAATGACTTGTGTGGGTAGGCAAGATGGAAAAAATATGAGCATGTCTGGGAGATCGATTCGTGACGTCTGTGTCTACACCCAATCAACTGCGTCTAGGGAACCATTTATCTTCTATGTTAAATATAAATGCTTAAATATGGTATAGACTATATCTTGTCTTTATTAATATTCACAATACATGGTGAACGGCTAACTATTTTGAGCTATTTCTAGAAGAAAAATCCGATCTAGTTCTTCTAACACCAAGCAAAGCTACTTTATCATGCAGAAAGTGACAGATAGTTGTTCGTTCATTCGTTCCAATTCTATCCTTATCGTCTTGATTCCATTAAGAAAACTGTGTGTGTATGTGTGCGTGTGCTATGTCTTAATCTTATTTCGACTTATATTGCTAAAATACACAGAAAAATAGATATAGCAATGTAGCTACGTTATTGTGGTCGATGCTCTGTCCTCTTTCTTTCTGTTTTTTTCTAGAACTAAATGACGGGTGTCTGTCATCGTTCTTGCTCGAACATCATTTGACAAAAGAATTTTGTTGTGCGACAGTAGAAGACTTGTATTTGGATAAACATAATTGCGTTTTCTTTGCCAACTCATGCTTACAATGATACTCTACGGAAGGAAGACAATTACTAGCTATTGCCCTGTTCGTGCATCTCATCTTCTCGTCTTAGAAAGAACAATAATAATGCGAACGTCAAATAACAAGAAAAAACGAAGAAGACAAATGAAAGGAAAGACAGGCGTACAGATTGCTTTACGTTGTTAATATTAATACAAGCCACTCAATCAGTGTCCAGAATAGTCAGCTAATAATTTGCCTTCAACTATATATGGATATAAGCAATCTCATTTTACTGATCATTAGCGACCTCTACTCATACATTCCACACTTAAACTTGGCATTAAAATATTCCGAGTTATTTTCTTTTTCAATTAACAAGCTTTTGCTTTGTTTATTTTTAATGAATACAAATCACAAATAAAATAATTCTGAAACAGTTGCTAAGAAACAGTATTGAATGAAATCTAGCAGATGGTATCAAACAGTGTGAATCGTTAAACAATCAGTAAATAGAGCAAATTCTTTTCCTATCAACATCGTGTTCAATTTATTTGAAATCTAATCAAAAGTACGTGCATTTCAAGATATTCTCGCATCAAATTTTTATGTAGAAAACTATTGAACAAAACGGTTTTATGATTGTTTGAATCTTGTAATTTCGGATATAAAAACAATATGTGAAAACAAAAATTGGAAACATCTTTTAAACATCATGTTTCTACGATGACACAAATAAATAAATAAAAAAAGAATGACATGTGATCGAGATCAACACCGAAAATGATTGATGTTAATAAGTTGAGAATTCTTAGCAGTATTATGTCTAAATGTTTCATTAAACAGCTGCGATTTCCATTCAAATATGTCATCTAATTTATTAACAATAAAAATATGTCAAAGCATTTAAAAATAACTATAGATATTACAAATTCAACATATCGAGGTTTTATTTAAGGTTGAAAGAAAAACAACCATGAGTGGTACGGCAAATCGTATACAAGCTGAAGGTGTTATTAAAAATATAATTCGAGAAATCGTACAAGAATGTGCATCCCGCGGTGAAGGTTGGTTCATAATTTTAACTCTACTTTTCCTCTAATACCTTTACGAGCACTATTCTCTTAAATCTAGGTGTATCTGAGACACTAGTCGCATTCATTGTCAAAGCAGTTGTACTTGAACCCGAAAATGATTTTCAAGTAGATCGTGTTCTAGCGTCCGATGATGTCCAACGTCTCATTGATCTATGTGTTAAACGTTTACTTGATGGTAAATCATCATCACTTGATACAATCAAAATGCAAGTGTATTTCGATATGAATTATACAACACGAGAAGAATTTCTCACTGAACATCGACGAGTACTAGGTAAAAGCGATAGAATTTTATTTTCACGTAACCGATTTTGCAATTTAGAAACTCGTCTTCAACCAATTTTACGTGAAATAACCGATAATCGAGCATCATCTAAAGATGAACTTGAATCTCTTTATAGAAAAATCGTTTCTAGCGTATTACTTCGATCGGGTCTTGGTTCACCAACGGGTAAGCTAATTGTTTTCAAGATTATTAAAAATAAAATAAAATATTATAATTTCAGATATCTCAGTTGTACGTGAAGCAACAGCTGCCTTACAAAGTGTATTTCCACAAACAGAGTTAGGTAATTTCTTAAGCTTATCAAAACGTGACAAAGATCGACAACTAGTCGAATTAACACAAATTGTTACTGGCATTCGTTTGTTCAATAAGGAATGCGGAAAAGGTGGTGAAGGCATTGATAATTTACCTGGTAGATAAATTTTAAATTATTTAATATAAAAAACAACCAAATTTTTCTTTCCTATTATAATTCAGCTATATTAAATGAAGCTATACCAGCAACATTAAAAGAAATTCAGCAACAAATCGATGATGCTGTTGATTCAAGTGAAAAATTTATTGCTGTACTAGATACAATGGCAACCTTATCACAAAAACAACTCAGCAAGGATTCAAGTAAACAAAGAATTCAAGAATCAATGATAAATTCTCGACAACTTGAACTTTATCTTACCATCCTTCTAACCGATGTACGGCAAAGTGCACATGAAGTCGAAGACTTACTAACACAATTCAAAACTCGTCTAGATCTACTCAAAACAACGATACAAAATAAAACAGCGTTAGTTATATTTTATTAGTGTGAAAAAAATAGATTCATCCGAGTGGAAATCAGAGAAAAAAAGCAGTATACCCACAATTTAATAATACGAATATAATAGTACTCGAGAATGGTAACTTAATAATAGTGCATAGTACTGACTTGAGTTAAGTGGGTTAACTTGACATCATTTTGTTTCTATATGTAATAATTTTTACGACCTCTGCTTATATATATATATTTATATGTATGATGAATAGTTGTCTCGATCCAATTAAAAGAACTGGCTATTATAGTGAATGTGCATGTTCAAAGAGGTATCCGCCTCCTAAGCCAATTTTCTATAAACGTTAGCTACAATCTTTCAATCGCGAGTCGCTCATGTCACTACTGATGTATATTTTGTGTTTATAATTGCAGGATTCTGTTGTAATATCTGCTTGTGATCTTTTTCCATGGATCTGAAGGCGTTGCAGCTATTCTAATAATTATATGCCTGTTGTTAACAGATAGAGAGTTTATTGCCAACTTATAGATTATTAGATTGAATTAATCCTTAATCATTAATTAACATATTAAACTAGTTTCTATTTTTTCACTCGTTATTCTTCATGTAAAGTTCTCTTGAAAGAACATTTCGTAAAAAACGATTTCAAATTTATTGAAAATTATGATCGCATTAAAATTACTGTAAACGAAAAAAATTAGAGATTCGTCTTGCTGTCTCTGTTTTAGAGTACCTACGGCTCAAGTTTATCCTCAATTTATGCATTTAGCAACAATATGGTTTGGTTTTCAAGATGAAATGGTTTTACTTAGTGTATTATCAAATATTTGTAAATAAAATTTATTGGAAAATTTCGCTTAAATTTTAATAGAAACTTTCTTCTCTAGTATATAGTCTTGAACCTTATACACTCAATGCTAAAGAATTACTTGCTGATGAAGCTGTAAGAAAATGTCTTATGAAAATATCGATTGTAAGCGATAAACAACGTTTACAAGCAAACAATGGTGGTGTTGTTGTACAAGCAGAAGAACGAAATGCTGAAGGAGTTTGGTATTATCAGGATACAACAAAAAATTTTGATAAATTACCATTAATGTATAAAGGTAAAAATCAATGATGAAAATTCTTCATCGTTTAAGATATAAAAGCTGTTAGCGCAATCCCTGTGAGATTAAAATGTGAAACACGATGAAACTTATTTTCTGGAATTCGACTATCATGGTCACTGATGGTCTGTGGAGCTTCTCTGTTACAGTCTGTATTATGATGTATGAAGTCTCTAGAAACCACCACAGACCGTTACAGAGAAATTCAATAATTAATTAATTTCTCTGTAACGGTCTGTGGGGGAGGGGGCGGGTGGTGGGCCCAAATTTCTACCCCGTATACTTTAACACTCCTTTCAGATCGTGTTTCACAAAATATGACGGGAAAACGAATTTAAACAAACTTTTATTTTAAAATCTCAAATAGAACTCCGAATCGAACCACGTTTTCATCTACAACCATATTTCTTTCACAAAGAAAAAAATTTCTACATGATTAAAATTCACAAACAATTAATTTTTTATTAGAGCATTGAGAAAAAAATCTTGTGATTAATTTCACGGCGAATAAAACACAGTGGAATAATTAAAACGCTTGAAAAATACAACATAAGAGATTAATCTGTTTATTTATTCAAGCGAGAGTTAAATGTGTTCGTCGCTACTCGAAATTCTTTTAGTTTTCAGTACACTACTTTTACTCATGCCATTAACGCACATGTCAGTTAATACAGTTAGTCTTATCTATGAACGAGATGGTTATTGAACCGGAAAAATGCGTCGTCATTATTTATTATACTAAATAAAATTTTCACTATGTTCGCATAATACAAATACCTACCTGTTACTCGTTTTTCAAGAAAAACTAGAGAAATATCGAGTTTGTTTTGCATGCACAATCTTGAAAAAATCAAATCACTTTTGTATGAATAGAAGTCGAAACATCGTTTTGGAATTCTAAACATTTTGTATATGCAGAAGAAGCGAATGTCTCTATTCGTTAATGGTTCGTGCTTGAGGATAGATCAAAGAGCACGATATCTTTCGTGCAACTCTACTTAGTTGTACCGCCTAATGAAAGAACAATCTACAGATAAATTCTAGTTTTTCACTTATGCATAAATTAATTCTTCAAGAGTAAATGTATGTCGTAAGATAATTAGCTTACTCTCAGAGGAATAGTCCTAAACAAAACATGATTCTTTTTAACATATCTGAAATGATTACATAAATATCTTATTTTATTAAATTGTTTACGTTTCTTTTTTCCGTTTAGGTTTTTGTGCCTATAATTTAGCCTTAAACGATTTTAAACTCATTCATGGTGATCCACGCATTGGTATTGTTCAAATTAATGATCGCTATTATACTTTTAGTGAGCCAAGAGATGCCGTTTTATTTTGCCGAAAGCCATCAGCTTTCATTGAATCCATTGCAAATAATGCTAAATTAAATCCTGAACTCATTCAGTTACTCGACTTACATACACAATTTACAAACGTTGCATCGTACGGTGATTTAGCGCAAGTTTCATCGAAACCACAAATGAAGGCTGATTTCGGTACGCAAACTGAGACACATTTTTATGAGAAAAATATTGTGAAAAATTATGAATGGAACGAATGGGAATTGCGACGAAAAGCTTTGAAATTAGCTAATCTACGAAGACGTTTAACTAAATCTGTACAAACTAATACAAGTAACTTCCGACGAGAAAACTTTACACAAGTCTACTTACCGAAAGATCAACATATTCAAACGAAACGTGACAATTATTCGAATGTACCACAACCAAAAATTTATTTAACTGGTATTCGAGGACATCAACGAAGTGGCGATGGACAATTTTTACCGGCAAATGTTAGAAAAGTAGATTTAACAGTTGATATTGATGAATAGAATGAATCATGAACTTTCCATTTTCTTTTTTTTCTTCGAATAAATTATATATCGCAAAGAAAAAGAAAAGATGTTTTGTTCAATGTGTTGGGATGCGTGATTAGATCAAACAAAATATGTTATTTTAAGATTTCAAGAAGGTCATACGAAACATCTTTGATATTTTTCTAATATACATGACATTAAATAATAGGAAACAAGCTGTCAATCCTTTGTGTATTCTTCATAGTCATCAAATAATTTATGATATTCATTCTGAATAAACTAATAGATCGTTCTTTTCATAGAAAACGTCATCATATAAAATAGTATCACTTCTACAAAATAGCATTACAAGACTTCATAGCTGTCAGAACAAAAGAGCCTTTTAACTCAGTAATCTTTGTGCATTGAACTGAAATCAAGAAATGAAAATAGTTCTAATACAATCAAGATGATGCAAGACAATGAATCCTAAAGAAAACATTGTCTTAATATTATTACACTAATTCATAGTCTCTAATTTTCTAGACAAACCTATTTAGTTAACAAGTGCCTATCGTGTACAAAATGAAATCAATGAATTTTGCGTGTTATACTACAATACAATATGAGCAGTAAGTTTCGATAGATGGTTCTGGTGTACGGTTCAAATGTAACCATAGAAGAGTAAATCGACTTGATTTACTTATCCTACTTATATTAATTAATTTAAAATATTTAAAAATACTTTAAAAGTTACTATTCATCATCTGACACTCAATTTTGATTGGTCTTCAAAGCACAACGAATTATCATCTGTCATCTGTCCTTTCTTTGCGTGGACTGATTGAACACAATTTAGCATATCTTCGGAGAATCAAGTTTGGAAAATATTGAAATTAACATGAGCGATCATGAAGATAATCGAGAGGATGATGACTCTCATAGTCGATCATCACGAGAAAGGCGAGTTAGTAATAATGACGACAGTGGCAGCAATCATTCTCATCGATGTAAGTTCATACCGATTAAATTGTGTATACTTATTTTTTTAATTTTGTGCAAAAGCATCAAGCAAACGAAAGAGTTCAAAAGATCTAATGAGTATTGGTAAAAAAATTGCTGAAAAAAGTGGTGGTCTTTTTTCACCTGAAGATTGGCAATGCAAAAGGTTATTATTGTATTTGATTACGCTTCTATTCGATTGATTTTTCTAATATTTCAGCTGTGGAAATATTAATTGGGCACGTCGATCAACTTGTAACATGTGTAATATGCCGAAATTTCAAAAATCTGAAGCTCGAACTGGTAATAAACTATTTGTCTATATAATTCAAATCAATTTATTGGAGATTTTTAAGGTGCGGGTGGTGGATACAATGAACGCGATGATGTTGAGTATAACGAACGTGCTCAAGAATCCGATGGAGAATATGATGAAGTAAATAGAATTCTATTGGCAGGTAATTTTATTTAGAACTAATTGATTTAGTTTGGACGTAAGAAGAAAAAATATCGTGGTCCAACAACCGACGACGACGACGACGAAGAGCCAATAGATAAAAAACGAAGTACAACTAGCTCGAAGTCTCGATCGTTGGGAGAGGTAATATTCGCACAGTGAGTATTTTAGAGATTTAGAGTTTTTCATTTCTATTAAAGAACATGATGTTAATGTACATTTTTTTTGTTTTGTTTAGGTCGTTGCAGAAGATGAAGACGAGGATGACGATGAAGAGTTTGATGCTTCAAAAGTATGTCTATGGAAGAATACAATTTATTGATGCTGATAGGTTGTTCAATTTTAGTACGCATTAGATACTGATGATGAAGATAATCAAAAAAGTGAAAAAGCAAGTTCATCGAGTAGCAGTAATAAAAAACCATCGAATAAAAATGGACGCCGAAATTCGTTAGTAGATTAAATTTTAGTTTATGAATGAATTAAAATTAAAATTTTTAGACGATCTCGTTCGAATTCAGCATCTTCAGATAGTCGTTCATCATCTCGTGATGGTCATCGTCGTTCATCGCATGATAAAAAATCGTAAATATCTTAAAAGCAAAACCTTACAGTATCATTTTTATGCATTTATTTAACAGTAGCCGACATGATAAAGCATCTTCGTCGACTAGCTATAAACGACGATCTATTTCACCACATGCTTCAAAAAGAAAAGATGACTATCATGAACGACGACGATCAAGGTAGTTTTATTGTTTCTTTCAATTATTTTAAAATGAATTCCTTTTTTCTTCATTAGATCTCGTTCACCTGTCCAAACATCAAGTCGAGGTCATCATAAGAGTCATCGTCATTAGTATACAATGAGAATAAAAAAGCATTCATCATATCATATTTGATTTCGTGTGTAAAAAAATTGATGTAGAAAATAAACGAAATACTGAAAAAGAGAACGAAATCTTATGAATCAAAAAAGAATAATAACAGGCTTCATAGGCCTTGAAATTGTTCAAGGTACTAGTTACAATTTTCTTTAAGTTGTTTTAAAGTTTCAATTGCATGCATAAAAGCTGAATAATTACTAAGACACTATTTTTATAGCCTTGATATACGTCTTATTTTTTTTTTTATACAAAGAATAAGAAAAACGAAGGCCATGCGATGGTTCATGAGCTAGTTTAATTGAAAGACGGAGACGAACCAGCAAGAGCAATGATCTCCAAGGCATGAAACTATTTATCGTTTGAAAAGTTCATGGTTTTTGCCTTGACCTAAAAGTTATTTTGTTTCTGAAGGCGTCTATTAGACATTTAAGGCGAACAATAGAACAATCGATGGGTATTCTTAATTGATTAATGAAAAGCGTATGTAGAGACATGCTGGAAGCCTTCTATCGAAACATTGAACCATCCAGTTCATTTTTTAAATAGTACGGCTAAGTCCATAGTACTGTTCAATGATGGAATCGAATAGGTTTTTTTAAATTTGATATCTTAGAAAATCGCTCATCATCGGTATTGGCCGCTCCTTTTAAAGTTGAGGTAATCTTCATACGCACAAAGGTGCAAAGAATAGAAAAGAATTTTTTTTCTTGGCACAGCATGTATGATCGTATAAAATATAGTGGTTATATTATATAATAGTTATACTTTGACTTGAATTGTCATGCTTCTTCTTTTTTTAATGTAAAAAGTGAACTACTATTATTAAATGGGGTTGATAGAATGCCCGAGTGCTTTTTTACAAGTAAAACTAATCGACAAACACAAAAGAAAAATAGACCACTTTTAATAAATCAACAAATACTGATGAACGTAATTTAAATTTTTCTCTTTTTTTCAAATTGACGATGATTTCCTGTCATATTTTAGTTCATTTATATATTTTGAACAGTCAAGTTTTTTTTCTTCTTCTCAGAGTATTTTACACAACGAGCTTTTCCATTTCCTTTGATTGCCGCCGGTGGTAGTCCGGTGTTTTAATAGTGTACAACAACGGTGACAGGAAATGCGCGTGCGCTTGCAATTTCATATATGATATAGACTCTATAAGTAACTACTCTTTGAGAGTAATCTCTTCGTTGATAGACCCATAAAAAGGTTCAATGTCAAATAAAATATAAAGCTTTCTGTCACTTATCCTAATGAGACCATACCAGCATCGACGTGAACAACATCAGATACCGTCGCAGCGTGCAATAAATTGTTTATTCACCTTGTCATGTTGAGAAAGATAAAAGAAATATTTGGCAGAAACAACGATTACATAAGATTTCATATTATTGATGTTCATCACTTTTACTCATTTGTTCAATCTTGAACTGTCAGAATAAAGAGAGCATAGACTCTCCTATATGTAATATAATGTACTGGCAAGCAAGTGTGAAGTGTATTGATATAATAATAAAAAAAAACACATGCAATATATGGACGACAAATGAGACTATAAAAAGTTCCTCTTGAAAAAGTTGTCACAATCTTGATTGTACGTAGAACAAGTGATCCATAGTCTTCGATCTCTCGACACATACACTTGTATGTATATATGTTATAAAGCAGCAAAAAAAAACCTTTTTTTCTTTATCTTGTCCTTCATTGATGGTATGTGTTCAAGACATCTGTTGCACAGGCCGTGTACGAGTTATGTCGTAATTAGAAATAACTAAGGAATATATCAGTACGAAAGATAAACGATGGTAATACTGGCGAAGGCTAGCGAATCTATGAAAACACATCATTAACGTCATGTATCCAACATCACTCTCTATGCTCGAGAAAAACAAATGAACTATCATGATGTATGTGTATATACATAGGAAAATAACGGTAGACACAATTGAACAAACAGTCATAATAATGAATATGATGCTACTACTGTTGTGTGTATTTTTACAAGCATTATTCAATTCTATGCTGATAGACAAACGACATGATCACAAATCACTTTTCAATGCATATATAAACATTGCATCATAATGTGAACGGATTCATGTCATTGTTTCGAATTAACAAATGTGAAGACATATGTATTCCACCCGATAGAAATCAAAGTATTCACCTGCATTAAACAAGACAACAACGGATACGAAGCACATGCACAAGCATACGAATGCGAGATTCATGTTTTATTTTATATTCTTGCGTCATACGCAGCCTGACTAGCAATTATCATTGTTAAAGATTTCTTCTCTCTTCATTTTCTTTTGCTGTTTTTTTACGTAACCATCTCGAGAGGACCGTCATAAGGAGGCTGATACTTTTTCGTATATGTCTTTTTTTTCAAGTGCCAATTGCTGAGATTTGATGTATTGGACTGTTCTGTGAATGATGATAATCGCTCATCTCAAGCATAAAATACATCTGTTGTATGTTCTCTGTCTCTGTCTCTCTCTCTCTCTCTTCAATTGATGTGAACATCATAAGTTAGGCGTACAAAAAAGAATGAAATGAGAAAATAAACAATATGCAGACAAAAGTCTATATCAAACACTTAAACGATCATTTAGTCTGGCATTTGTAAACTTTATATAGGTGTGACTTTGCTTATGTTGATTGAATTGATCATATTATGTCAGTCATCGTCTTTTCATTTGACATTCAGATGTAGTACATGTACAAACTCATGCTGTCTCATAACATTGACCATGTCCTTCAAAGATATACCCAATAGCGGCTCGTGTCAATAATCTGTTGGCGTTATTTTTCTTCTTCTTCTTCTTCTTAGGGTTCGAATGTAGTGGCAGCTTGAATAGTAAGAAGATCAACCAAACAAAGAAAACAGGCAATAGGTAAGTAGAGTTTTTATGAAAGTAACTGACAAGAAATGAGATGAGATGTAATCAACCATCTATTAGGCCCGGTGGGTAAAAAGGCTCATTTTTTTAAGACACCGGTCAATCATATCCCACACGTCCTTTCTCTCTCTCTCTCTCTCTCTTCTCTGTTCCTCTCTTTTTACCAGAAAAAGAAAAAAATACTCCGCGAGAATGATTTTTTCCCTTTTCTCCTCCTTCTTCACGATAGTACTAAGTGTTAATTCTCTGCTCTCATTCTTATTACTCTAGATTCTGTCTATACGTATGTATGTTCAATATGTCGTATATTAATGAGGAAATCCTTCTCTCTTCTTCTTTTTTTTGCTATTACAGATTGTTTCTGTTCACATCCAAACAGTAGTACAGTATGATAATTATATTTGTTTCGTTTAAATTAGCCACGTAATTACAAATTTAACAAAGTACAAAAAGAAAGAAATGTTTCGAATTCTATTTTTTCTTACTACTTTCTATTTCGTATTTACATTACCAAAAGAATCTATACATATTGTCGAAGATTTACCGATTGGTACATCAATATTTACATTTTCCACTGATGGTTGCAACACAGTTCGTGCTGCTGGTACCTATCGTTTTGTGGATAGTCAAAAAAACTCAAACGATTTCTTCCTTATTGATCCATATACGGGACGTGTGACAACAAAGAAATTAATCGATCGCGATGATTTTTGTCTTCGCCGTATGTGTTCATGCTCGAAATGTGAAATTACTCTCGAAGTTTTATGCGTTAATATGGGTAAAATATTTTTCAATGATTTATCTATTGTCGTCGATGATCGTAACGATCATTCGCCACAATTTTCAAAATCTTCAATAACAATCGATGTACTCGAGAATGTACCTATTGGTTATTTAATTCCAATTGATATTGCTATTGATCTAGATTATGGAAATAATTCTATTCAAGGCTATAATCTTTTCGAAGACAATTCAACAAATAAAATTATTAACGCATTTCAAATTGAATATTCAAAAAAAAATGATCTACTCGCTTTGCGTCTTAATAGGACACTCGATCGAGAATTATATCATTCTCTAGAATATATTATTCAAGCGTTCGATGGTGGACAACCACAAGCACTTATAGGTCGTTTAAATATTTATATAAATATTCTTGATGTCAACGATATGTCGCCAGTATTTGATCGTTCTGAGATTAATGTACTTATAAGTGAATCAACACCAATTGGTTCATTTATTGGACGTGTACATGCATTCGATGGTGATACTGGTCTTAATGGGCTTGTGTACTATACAATTGTTTCGTCAGATCCGCCGGCTAATGGAACATTTATATTATCGAAAGAAACAGGAGCAATACATCTCGGTAGATCTCTTGATTATGAAAAAGAAAAATCGTATCGAATGAAAATAAAAGCACAAGATAATGGACCACAACAAGTTTCAATACCAGCTTTTGCCATGATTCATATTGATATACAAGATGAAAACGACAATTATCCAATGATTTCACCATCGTTTAATGATGATCGAATTTCAGGTGTTGAACATGTGCTCAATAGTAGTGTAATTAAAGTTCGTGAAAATCTTTCCAATGGAACATTTTTAGTAAGTGACTCGTTTTCTTTTTGTCTGCATGCGTGACTAGAAAAGAGTATTGATATTATTTGTCATTTTCAATCTTGATTGAAAGTTGATCTTCTCTCTCTCGATTCTAATTCTCAAAAGCAACATTTCTATGTGCGTGCTCGCATGATTTATCTCTACCCTTTAGTTTTTGATTTATATTAAAAAAGATGAAAAAAAGCATATTAGTTTATTGTAATTGCTTTTTTTCTCTTTTCTATAGGGTCATATCTCAATTAGTGATCTCGATCATGGTAACAATGGTCGAGTAAGTTGGTCAATCGAGAGTAACGGATCAATTTCTATAAAGAAATTATTTAATAATGAAGCTTTTCTTATATTTACCGCATGTAAATTTGATCGGGAAAAACAATCAAAATATGACGTTCATCTTACAGCACACGATCATGGTATAGTACCACTTTCAAGTACATTCAATTTTACGTTAATAATCATGGATGAAAATGATAATCCGCCAAAATTCGACGAAGAAATTTATTCAATTGATATCATTGAAACAATACCTTTAAATTCAATTCTTATTCATTTTCATGCTACAGATCCTGACGAAGAAAATACATTCAATAGTCAAATTGAATATCGATTATATAATCAAACAATATTTTCACTGAATTCAATGACAGGCGAATTACGTTTAACTGGTAAACTTGATCGAGAAGAAAAATCCAGTTATGAATTCGATATTATTGCATTTGATCATGGTCAACCTCAACCTCTATCGTCTACAGTTCATTGTATAATCCATTTGATTGATATAAATGACAATTATCCGATATTTGATTTATCGACGTATCTATTTGAAATACCGGAAACATGGTCGAATCTTTCGCCGATCGGTCATGTACATGCGACGGATGCGGATGAATATTACGGTGAATTAACTTATGAATTAGTACAAAATGAAACTATAATGAACACGGAATGGCCATTTGAATTGACATCCAATGGTACACTATACGTGAAGCGAGCATCGGCTGGTAAATAAAAACAACATCATATTCAATAACATTTCTGAGAAGACTTTTCTTTTCGTTTTAGGTATTGATTATGAACATCGCTCGATTTATCAATTTTCAATTCTAGCCATTGATAATAATCGTCTTAATACAAGTGTACCTGTAATCGTTCGTATTTTAAATCGTAATGATTTTTGTCCTGAACTAGTTAATAATTCAACGGCTTTATTTTTTAATACGGATCTTTGGTTTAATAATTCGTATGGTAAAAATAATCATTACTATTTAGAATTATTCGACGGTGATAATGATACGTGTTCAATTGAATTACTTAATTTTAGTGATATGTTTAAAATTGAATTTATTAAACGAAATCTATACTTATTATATGCAAATGCACTACCGGAACGTGAATATTACATTCTACAATTTCGTATTCAAGATCTTATAAACGAAACTTTCGATCGATCATGCGTTCGCTTTACACAATTAGTTTTAACAATCGGTACCAATGAAACCAATGAAACAGTAGCTATCGATTCAGCACAAGAATATTTAGAAACAATGCGTTTAATGTCTCGACGTACATATTCGCATTTTAATTTAACAGTATTTAATATTATATTTGCTGTTCTTTTTCTATCAATCGCAATTATTATTGGTGTAATTTTAATTAAATTAATTTATCTTTCATCTCATTCGTGTCATCAACGTAAAGGACGAAAACACAGAAAGAATACGCATACACTTTATCGTCTTCAAGGTCCAACTGAAACTCAATTGCCTTTACTTGACAATGGATCAGGCGAACAATCATTGACCTCATCGTTGACTATTCCTGGAAACAGAAAGTCAACTATGAATAGAAATCTGCATTATTCTACTGATAATGATGAACAACAGCAGGTAAAAACAAAAGAACAGATGATGCGTAGAAAAAGGAAAAAAGATCGACGGACACACGTTAATACTATTTCCATATGTTACTTTGATTTCTATTCATCGTTCAACGGAACATTGATTTGTGTCCATGTCATAGTTTCTATTCATAGGAGAATGGTAGAGAATAGATTTTTTTTAATTAAAAATCCATTTCGTTAACGTCTTTGTTGATGAATAAAGATATGTCAAACGATAACGAAGCGAGAATGATGAGAGATAGAAAGAAAGAGAAGCTGCTTCCTAGTCTGTCAAGTATGAATGAGTAATAGAAAGAGAGAGAGAGAGAAGAGAAAAATGTAAAAAAATTAATTTAATTATCTATTTAATGTCACCAAGGGTGTCTAGTGTCGCGTCTTTGCCAGCTAAGAATAATCAAATTTACATTTAACCGCGACAAAATTATATTTGAATATATCTATAGAACATTTATTAGAAACAAACGATCTTTTTAGGAAGATAAATATCTATTGAGATCAATATAGCAATAAGTGATGCATCGTTTATATATGTCATGAATCGATCAAGCCGTTCATATGCCGTAGGATATTGACGTGCATGATGATGATGATGATGATGATGCAAAACATGAGACATCTCGACTAGTATCCTATTTCATTCAATCTATTCTAATCAATAAAGTTTATATATTAAAGGAAATCTTATTTCTATTTTCTAGCGACTTTTATGTCAATTAAATTCAAAGCCTATATCAATAATGAAGAAATCGAATGAATTTAACACATTTACATTGAAATCAACTAATAATCCGTATGATATTATTAGTGATATGCCTTATTCGGGTATTTCTCCATCATCATCGACATCTTATCCGCATATGAGAGATAGCGGTTATGAAACAACATCATCGAATCTAGATCGACAACGTTTTCTTTCACCCGCAAGTCCATCCGATGTTAGTCTCTCAACCGATGATCAATTAATAAATGTTACGTATTTTTCATCATCAATACCAATTCAACATGATTTATCATTATCTTCTTCGAATACAATATCGCGAACCTTGAAAACATTTGCACATGTGCCGACGGCGAACATTACAGGAAATGAATCATTTTCATCCTCAACAATGATGAGTGCTCGGCTTGCTGAACAGGAAGTTATCGAAGTTTAATAATTGCCATTTTTTGCTTACTGTTGTATGGGTGAATGTGTTTCTCTTCTTCTTTTTCTGTGTATATAAAATATTTAACGAAGGAGATGGAGTTTCTAATTGAGTCATATTCATGAATGAGTATCTTTTTTTTTCTTCTTAACTTGGATATTTTTCGAGATAAAACCTTGTATTCTTTTCTATGATTACATATGCAATAGGATATTAAAAAATAAATAAAAAAAAAACTTTGTCGTAACATGATCTTATACAATATCGATAATTGCTGTTTGTCTGTAAGACACTGAGAGTGTCATTGCTAGATTAATATGAGATTTCCTATCATATTCAAAAGGAATTACTGCTGAATGATTAGCTATGGAACTAGAGTAAATTCTAATTTCACTGTTTTCAGCTATTTCTGAAGTTTACAGGAAAAATTTAGTCACAGAAATACCTTTATCGTTCTTGAGAAAAACTTAAAAAAATATATATGGACAAGTAAATTCAGATTGTGATGCTATTGCGAATCATTTACTCTGTATAAAATACACGTGTATTTATTTTTCACCCTTCAGGTGTGAAATTTGGTAAATATCCATAAAAATTTTCACTGTTATAAGCGACGAGCTCATCCTTGGGTTTTACAATATGTACCGAGCAGCTTGTTGATTAACCAATAACAAATATAATTCGATTATAGCGAACTAAATGTAAGTTACATGAATGTCAGTTTTTTAAATAAATTACTTTTTTGTCTCGAAATGAAATTTTGTTTGTAGATAAATTAGTATCATTTGATAATAATGAAAAAAACTGACTTATCAATTAATTTTATCTCTATAAGGTAATTATAAACTATATTTGCCTCTAACGTATGGCATTGAAAATCAATAGTAATGCTTTTTTCCTGGATAAGATTCTTCGTGTTAGAATACGTCAAGTTTTTACTGATGTGTAACTCATCACCAGATCGAATTGTTTCAAAAAATTAACTGAGAAACAGTTTTGATTTTAACATTCAACATATTGATTAGGATTCTTGAAAGTTGTGCTTATTTTGTTTGACACCCACAAATAGAATCAGCATGGGCAGTAAACCAACAATTGATCCTCAAGGACACTATCAATTCGTGTTTTTGACTTTATCGAAAATGAAAATTGGAATTCATTTCGAGCGTGTAAAAAAATTGATTAATATAGAGTATTTTTAGATTTTTATCAAGGAGTTACACCTCAGATTTTACTAACTGCTGTATCTAACTAAGAATTTCAATGAAACGAAGCAATGCATTATCATTTTATTCAATATTGGCTAACCAAAACAAGGAGTATATTAACTAATGATGAATCTTCAACAAAGCTTTGAAACGAAGTTTGATCTGGTGTAAACACTTTCAATAACTACAGCATTCGCATTTTATCAAAGCGACACTTTCGAAGATTATTTTCTATTGCATTTCTACTAACAAACATCGACCTTTTTCAAATGCCATAGGTAAAATTTGTTTAATTTTTAGTAATAAGCATGTCCCACACATCGAAATATTCCTGTGTTGAACGAGTCAGACGAACATTTTCCGCCACCGTACAGAATAATAAATTTGAAGTTTTTTCAATCGTCGCTCTACATTTTCCGTCACTCAATTCGTATGTATAAGAATTAATAGAAGATGAAAGATCTTTCATTTGAACACGAGCAGCATCACGAAGAATACCGGTTACAAACGGATCACCTGGATGTTCAATATAATCAACATGACTCAATGCATCAATCATATAATCAATTGCGTTCGATGTTACAGCATAAAATAAACTCATGGCATAATATAAATCAATTTGTGATGGTGGTAAGATAGCATTAATAAGTTTTTGATAGCGACCTCTAGGAGCTGAAGTTTCCGACTGAAACCAACTGATAACTAAATTTTCATTCGAGAATTTGTTGAGAATTGGAAGTATTACATTGTTAAGATTTTTCATATTCATAATAACATTATCTTCAGTTTTAATGTATAAGGGTGAGGTTGGATAATTTAATTTTACCCATAACATTGCCGAAAGTTCTTTGTATGCAAAAAATGAATGCATATCAGGCAGGCCAACTTGAATAACATCGCCAAAGAGCATTTGTTCTGCAATTACACGTTTCTGAGTAAAATCGTCGACACCGACAAGAAAATAGACTTTGGTCGGGATTGTGCCGCTGTCATACGATTGATTAAAAGCCCAAGTTCGTCTTATCGCATCACGCATTTCGATGTTAGACGCATTGGACAAGACTATAATCGGTACAACGTTCCATGAGCTGGAGTTCAACTGTATCGTGGATGAATGATAAAATTCGATTAAAGATAAAATACCTTTGGACGCTTGGCTTGGTGATGCATCGGAAAGTGAATTAACATCTAGTGAGCTTAATGAATCTCGTTGTAATAGAATATGATTATACCGTTGATTTGATGTAAATGTTTGTCCCATGCGAAATTTATACAAAATTTGATTGATCGAAGAAGCATTTCGACGGTAGTAGATAACTAGAGTCAACGTAAGTGCAAAAGTAACGGAGTTAAGTAATGCTCTTAAACGACGACGACCATAATATCCTGCGAACATTGTACTGCTCCTACACGCGTTGTTCTGACAACGAATGCGGTCGTTATTATTCTGTTTCGGTTGGCTGCGCAATTCGTTTTATGTATTTGATTCTTTCTTTTTTTTTCGTCACGTGACTTGTATGTAGATGCCCTGATTCAACCTTTAACGAATATTTACTTCATACATTTATTTAGCGTTATAGATTTTTTTCCGGATGCGACTCATATCCGTCAAAATCAATGGAGATTGAAATCTCGTAATTTGAAAATACATTGATCCAATTATTTTTATGCAACAGCGAAAGTATTGGAATTTTTCATGGAAAATTCTTCAATATGCAACATGATGAAGCCAATTGTTTCTTTTTAGTAAAGCTTATCAAGATGAATTAGGCGATATTATCAGCAAGCTTATCTCGTTATCTATTTGCTTATGCAATCTTTACTAGTGATAATTGATGAAGTACTTTTCATTATAAATCACTTTCGAATTCACTGAAAGTTTCAATACTGTGCTAGTAACATTCACCACAAATTCATTGATTTATTACAATAATGAGATATTTCGATTTTGATAGCAATCTTAGCCCTACTAATGATAACAAAAAAAATTTGGTACAAGGCTGTTGCATTTTTGTTTTGATGCATCGCAATATATTTTTTTTCGCTTGAACATGAAAACTATGATTGTAAGATACATGCTTTTGTATCTGATACAAACCTTGCTTTTATTCAACGCTTTTTCATCGTAATCTGCATTTATTTTAACTGCACGTGCATAAATCTATATATGTATTCAGTGATTGTAAAAAAAGCCAACGATAATATTTTCGCATAATCAGCTTTACGTGTTTATTGATGTGTATTTTCCGTACTTTTACCTTTAGCCAGACTCTTGATAGATGAAAAATAATTTATTTTACAAGAAAGCAGTGTGAAGATTTCAGATCATACAATTATGGGATCCACATAATGAAATTTAGTTTTTCACGAAAGAAGAAATTAACCTTGTTTAAAAAGAATTTTTAATGAAAGAGCATTATTTATTTGAACTTACATTGAATCGATAATATTGTTAAAAGACCATGAAAATGATTATTCATCCTGTAGTAGGGGTGTTACTTTATATTTACTTTACTTTTTAAAGATAAATGAAACTTTTATATTTAAAAAAAAAAGATAAATGAAATTTTTAAATTTAAAAAATAAAGATAAATGAAATTTTTATATTTATAAAGTAAAGACAACGATAATCTTTATCTTTACAAAAATAAAGAAAAAGAAAAAGTAGCTTTATCTTTATTTAATAACGATAAAATAAAGAATAAAGAAAAATATTTTTCCTTAAAAACCCAAAATTTGGTCTTCTCCCGATACCTCGAAGAAAATTAAGAAGTTCAAGGCTATCAAATTTTGAACACTAGATTTTTTCCATAAATGATTTATGCCTCACCATCATTTGCTAGTATTATTTCATATTGCAATGTCAGTGATGATAAGCAAGAACTGCAATGAATGTTTTCTGTTGTGTTATACAAATTATTCATCTATTTACCAGTGACTGTAAAAAATCTTTCTTTTTTCTTTATTTTAACGTTATTTTTACAAATAAAGATTATCTTTATCTTTATTTTATAAGTATAAAGGTTTTATTTATCTTTATTCTTTAATATAAAGATCAATAAAGATAAAGTAACACCCCTAGGTCCTGTAGACCCAATCATTTTTTTTTCTATGTCAATCTGAATAATTTTTGATGCATTATTGATGATAATTTTTTAGTAGAGGCGGACGCTATTTCGATTCAACACAAGAGTGATGCTATGATATTTTTTGGTGATTAGAATTATAGATATTTGATATCGCTTTGATCTATAATTTGATGATTAACGAAGATATTTGTTTTTCACGATGGACTTGAAATTCTACAATTGATAGTTTGTTGTGTTTTAATATTTTCAATGCGCACCAATACAAGAAGAACATAACGATAACGATGCTCGTTCTCGTTTAAAAATATAATTGAAAGCTAGGTTTTTTTTGCTCGCATTTACTTTGAAAAAACTTTTCATTTATTGAAGCAAATCTTTCGATACGATTTAAGATGAAAACTTAGGATTTTTTATTAGAAAAATTTTCAGGAAATTTACGGCTTTGTATGTGCAAAGACATCTCGAATAGAATAATTTATTCGAATATTTTCTATTCTTTGACTTAACAGACTGTTTGTTGTATCGTCAGTGACTTTAATTACAAAAGTATCGAATTGAAATCTTCTATTATTTTTATTTACAATTAAAAAACGCCTTATAAAAAAATATTCATTGAAAATAAAACCTGGTTCAATGTTATTCTTCCATGCAAATGAGTAAGTTTGTTTATTTTTACAGATCTATTTTTGTTGTATTCGCTATAACATTTTCCGTTAAGATCCATTCTCCTCTATTACACAGTACATATTGATAAGCAATATTATTTGCTATTTGAATTCGTCCGAGTAGAAAATCTGCATAAGTTAATGTTGTTTGTAATTTAAACATCAGCATTTGTCGAAATACACCATGACACACACGATAAGCCATTGTATCTGAATCGAAATCAAGTTCAACAGTAATATTCGATTGTATTGTACCTAATGGTCGTAAATAAGTTTTATGTCCATAGAATTTTACAGCATCAGGTCCAATTGGTACAAGTTGATGTTCAACGGATGTCGTGATATTAAGTAAACGTATGGGTACCCAATTATCTGAATTAATCGATGTACGATGAAAAAATTTCAGATGAAAACATGACATATTTCTATATGTATCATTAGTAGCATCGATCACAATAGGATTTTGTATGGACAAATGTACAGCACGTGGGAGTAGGATGGCGATTGCAGCTGAAGCAGCTAATGTACAAAAAACAATTGTAAGTAGAATCCATAAAAATGTATATCGTTGTTTAAGTCGAACATCATCAAGTGGAATTAAGGCAACAAGACCAGGTGATTGACCTACGAGACCTGTTCCTTGACATGTTGGACATCGACGATTAGTTGCAGAATTTTCAACTGGGATGTTTATTAGTGGGTCTTCATCGTTATCCGACATGATTGTTGTTGACATAAATACGCACGCTCCAACCAATCTTTGTGTGCTCTACAATTATTTTTTCTTTTTCTTCTTTCCGTTCTGTTTCTTTTTTAGGCCATTTCGCTTTTCTTTCTCTCCCGAACAGCGCGCGTAGCATTGATAGATACGCTCGTTCTTCTCCTCTAACGCATTTTGTTGATTTGCGTACACTCTCTTCTGATTCGTTCTATGTCGCTGGCGACGTCTAACCATTCTGCATCTTTTTTTTCTGTTATGTTCAGGTTCATGGTATTATCAAGGCGTATAACTTTGATGATGGAACTTGATCATTTTTGTTGTTGTAAATAAATTCTCTGAGTCTGATTGGGACTGCACACTGTGGAACCTTGGATTGTATACGTGAAATATCCTTGAGTCCGAGTTGATCAGATGTCGCTTGATTTCAAACTTATTTCTTAGAAACTATAGCGCGGTTAGAAAATAATTTTACTTTAAAATTGTTTTGTTTAAACATCCTGTAAGGAAATTTTCTATAATTAGCAGAAAGCTTCTGTTTAAATATAAATCAAGAATGACCTGATGATTATCACATTCAAGACCATGTTTCAGGTATGGGACATATTTATTGAATTCAAAAGAAATGTTAGATGTGTGCATTTAATTTGCAAGCAAATCACACGAAGAATATTCTACCATGACAATATTAAGAAAATACATAAACCATTGAATTCCACCAGTTAGATGTGAAACCGTTTGTCCCTGAAAGACATTATATGAACTTCATCTAAAATTGCTCTACGTAATATTAATGAATTTCATTAATACTTCAAAGCGGTCTCGCATTGCGACACTTATTCTCCGCCAGAATTCTAAATAGTTCCCTATTCATAATGATCGAACATTAGCGGAAAACTTGCCCTTGAATCATCGAATAAAAATAGTGCACGTAATGACCATCAGTCTCAATAGAGTTTCTATAAACAACATGTAAACCTTCATTTACTAATGTTTGGACCACTCGACGAATAAGGCAGTGGGTGAAAGCAAAGACATCAATGATATAAATAATATTTGTTCTTCCTCTTCTTCTTCTGCTTTAGTGTAGATGATAATCAACATTTTTGGATATTTTTATCATTAATAGCAACCATGACAAATAATCGCCTACGTTGTTTGATAATTTCTATTAGTATTGGCCTTATAGTATTGTTCATTGTTGGTGCAATTATCTACTTAGCTCGCCAAAGTGAACGGAAAACAATTGACTACGATGCATGTCCGCGACCGACACAATTCGCAACTGATTATGATTTTGATTATACAAAGAAAAACAATGAATATCGCAATACAAATAGCTCGATAGACTATTTTCGTTTAAGTCTCTCATGGTCACCAACATTTTGCAAAGCACAAGCAAATGCTAAAAATTTATTTCAATGCCAACATTCATTTGGTTTCATCGTTCATGGATTATGGCCGAGTACATTCAAAAAAGGCAGTAGTTTACATTCACATAATTCACATCCAAGAAATTGCCGCGATGAAAAACCAATGCCAATTGAAATAATTCGAAAATATTTTTGTATGATGCCTTCCGAAAATCTAATGCAAGGCGAATGGGAAAAACATGGTACGTGTTACTGGGGAAAACCCGAAGAATATTTTGAACAAATCAAGTCGCTCCACTCAAAAATAAATATGCCCAATGATATACATGAAATTTTGAATGGCGAATCGAGTTCAAAACGTGCAAGTATTAGACAAAGTTTTCTAAAGTTAAATCCAGAACTAAAATCAGAACATATTGATATTAACATTGGTAACAAAGGAAAAACATTGAAAGAAATCGGTTTTTGTTATGATCGTTCTTTTAATCATATCGCATGTAACCAAAACATGTGATAGTCATCAGGTTTTTCTATCAATCATTTATAGTTTATTATTATAATAAATATTATTCTAGGACATAGTATAGCGCTGTGTGAGTTACATAATTTCTATTATTTGAAGAGATGCTCGCTTGGTTCTATGAAATGCCACTATTCTAGATTTTATTTCGATTGAAAACATGATAGTTTTATTCTGAAGTTCGAGCTTTTCAGACACGACACATGATTTGTCGAAATTTTCAAGTTCGATTTTATCGTTAACTGCAAGAGAAAATCGGCGTTTCGAAATAAATTCTTCGAATGAACTATTTAGACAACCCAGTTAGGGTTAGAATAAACAACTTCCATATGATGCCTACAGATTTCGATCCAATTTGCAAGCCTGATAGAGTTTCAATGTGCAACACAAATATTTTTTTGTGTATTCAAGAAAAATTACGATGGAAATAATCAAAAAAAAAGGAAATTATCATAGCTAAACAAAATCAACCAATAGTAAGTCAAAACTCAACGTACAAAAAAAGACGGATGTTCTAGTTTAGAGTTGCACAGGAAATGAAAGAAAAACAATATGTGTGAATGATTTAGTAGTTATTCAAGCATAGAACGCACCAAAGCGAATATATGATGATAGCATTTAGTAGAAAGAGTAATAGTTTTTTTCGTCATGAATTTGTTGAATTTACTGTTTTTTTGTAAGAACAAGTGGGCCAACATTGTCACCTGTTTCTTTATTCCACGTGTTATGAGAACCATCACACAGTGGAAACTAAAAAAACAAATTGATGATAAAGTAAAGTAAATATATCAAGGTGAAGAAATGATAGCTGATCCGATGACTGTTCGTATTTGATTTGTATAGACAAAAAAATGAATGCCTGTCTATGCTCAGATTCTCTTATCGTACGATACAGATCATGAATTTAATTTAAAACTTTAACTTTGAACACCTAAATAATTTCTGTACCTTTTTTGATTTCCAACATCGACAATAAGATACAGTTTTATTCGAAGCTGCGTCACATTGACCAGTTACCTCTTCAATATCATATTTATCAACTACTTTATCAACATCTTTTTTTATTGCTTTATTTATGTGTTCAGGTTTTGATTGGCTACTTGCTGCATCGGTAGTTTTAGAAGAATCCATTTTAGCTGTCTTGTTTGGTAATTGATCTAGAGTAGAAAAATCAAATAATAGTCTGCACATCGACATATTTGAAGGTCTCATTTGAAACGACAGAAGACATGTTTTTTTCTTTCTAGCAATATAGAAAAAAAATGTATGATAAGAGAAGATTATATAATGTTATCTGATCGTGGGACATGTGCGGTTGCAAGATAATTGACAGAACAAGAACATCAATGTTAATCTTCATTGCCATCTAACGTTAATTTTTATCGAGCGCTGGAATCGATCAAATGTATTTGTCCGAAATTTCTAATAAAAACTATTAAACGCATTCCTTACGTTTAGTAGTAACGATATGTTATCATAGAGAAAAAAGAGTATGCGTTATGTTATTCTTGGCATGAAAAACTAATGCATCTGATCACATGACCCTTTTCCATTGTACTGAAAATTTTCCACCCAGCTTCGTACCAAACAAGCAACAGTTATGAAAAACTAAAGAAGTTTTCGTTAGTACTTGAAAAAATTCGACTACTGATATTCACATTACAGTTAATAGCTAATTTAGTGCATAAATGTGCCAAGAGAATATTAGAGTATGATAGCTATTGTCATAGGTATATGTGATAATGCTTGAAAGGAGTCGAAAAAATAAATTAAGTGAAAATATGGACACTATTCTAGAGGCAAAAGGTAGTTACGAATGGTGAAAAAGGATTGGTTCGTTGGCAAAGAGCCTCACCTACACGTTGTGTTTTACCTTATGATTTCATAACGAAAGAGAAATCCTTTGATAGAGAATCGCATTTTTTTTTATCAATGACAACTAGTAAGTGAGTAAAGATAAGTCAGAAAATAAACTAAGATTGCAAACAATGGAACATAGTATTAGATTTTCCTAATATCAGGTTTTAAAATAATTTCAGTGAAAATATCAGAAAAAGCAATTTCTCAAGAAACTCCTATCGTTTGGATCTTTAGTAGGATAACTAACAGCAGACTAGAATATATAATATTCTTTGGCGTTCGCATAAATATTATTCCTTGCATGAAAATGAAATTTAACTTTTTGACTATGACCAATAGAAAACTTAACTTGTTGTTCATACATTTTTGGTAGTCTGATTAGCTAGAATCGTTACGGATGCGCATCGAAGAATTTTGAACGGAGCTGATATTTGATCATAATTGTTCGCTTGTTTTTAAGACAACAATCAGTAGATATGAAAAAACAGAGAAGCTATTTAATCTGTATTTTCTGGAATTTATGTAAATAATAACAAAAAGAAACAGGAGTGAAAACTAGGCTAGTTTAAGTTTATACGAGAAAGGACGTTAAGTGGGTATATTTTTTTCAAGATGGCATGGTATGTTTTGATGGATTGAAGGACTCTTTGAATGTTATTCACTAGCTTTCTACAGTTGATTAATGACTATAAAAAAAGAAAAAAGAAACATTGTTATAGAAAGAAAAATTTGAACACAATAATTTCAACGATACCCTTTAGCGGAACCATGGGACTTTCCAGCGCCATGTGAATGACTTTTGTCGTGAGGTGTTTGAGCACCTGGCAACATGCTAGCACTGCTACCACCACCAATTCTTGTTCGTGTTGTAACCGATGGGCCATCTGTAGCGATGAATTGACCAGAACCAGAAACAATGTGATAACCACCTGGAGCCTCAGGTACTTTAACTGGTGTACCAGGTGGAAAATTATGTGCACTCATACGAGATACATAGATTATGCTCGACGTTGTACGTTGTACAAGACGACACAAGTTCGACATAGTTTATTTTGATAGAAAACGAATATCTAAAATAAAATTATAAAATACAGTCAACGATTTTAGTCATATCTACATTTAAAACTATGACTGCTGATGATCTAAGTATTATAATAAGTTCAACATAAACAAACTTCTTCTAATAAATCAAAAGCAAAGCTACCGTAAAACGCTGATTGGTTCGTGGATAAAATGCGTTCAAGCTATATAAACCTATCGAAAAAGATGGCGTGCGCGTCCATTGCTTGCACATTCATATTGAATATCAAGCACAACATAATATTTGGTATCGGAATAGATAGATTAACTGATCGACCAACTAGGATCTAAATGGTTAGAATTTTCAAACGCAAAAAAATTGATTTCGAAGTATGTTCTCAATATTCATATTGCCTGTGACATTGCTTTTATATTTTATAGTTTCGTGATTTTCGCTTTCCGAAGATTTTTCTCTCGACAATATCCCTTTCAACCTTTTTTAATCCCATAATTCAGCAGGACGTCAATTTCTTCTTGTCTTAGCCTATACTTTAATATTCTTTTGGTACTTCATCTCGAAATATGTCGCATAGTGACATTTGACAATCATTTCTTTATTTCACAAGTTTCTCTAAGATTCAGTCAACTGATTCTTTCTTTTTTCTTTAAACTCAACTCGATGTCATAGAATTCAAGTATCTCTCATAAAAATCATACAGTATACGATGAAAACAGGAATTACATTCAAAACACGGTACGCAGATTCCTATTATACCAAAAGTAGGATGCGATTGTAGTTCTATAGACAAGATGAAAGCTCAATGGAATCTGTAAACAGCATACCGAATCAAACAAGCTAAACTATCAGTACTCATAACATCTTTCTCGCATTCGCTATTATCTACTTGAGATTCTTTATAGTTTTACAGTTTACTGCTTGCTCTATAATGCTTTTACATGAATCAACATTGTACAAGGTTGCTTTCTTTTCAAAGTTAAATCCAGAAGTAATGAATATCTACTCGAATATAACATGGCTCATGCTCATCGATATACCCACTGTTCATTTTTTTTATCACCAAATTCTCAATAATTTCATTATCCCAATAAATAGATTGATTAAATCCTTATTTATGTTTTATTTCAAAGTCACATACAAATCAGAATATGAAACACTCTGTCAGATTCTGTTCACAGTGTTAGAAAAAAATGTTGCGAATAAATGTATTTCACTTTCGTTAGTGGTAATTTCATACGTTCCTGATCCTCTGCAGGGATAATATCTCCTGATTTGAAGATAATGGGTGTTGGAAGAATTTCTCCAATATGTCCTTTTGTCTTCAACGTTAGTAAGGTGGTGATATCCGCTAATGAATAGCAATACACATCGCCTTTCGTAAATCCCAACTTTTCATAGTATGAACAGGCTTTGCTCATGTTAGTTAATGTTGTTAAATGTACTTGACGATAACCATGCTCCCTAGCAAAGCTCAACTGATTCCTATTAGAAACGCTGATACGAACATGTCCCAACTTGCTCAAACGAAAAAAGTTTCGAGAAGTATGTTTGAGCTACCTGGTCGGAAGAACGAAACATTAACGAATAGATAGTAGCACCATCTATCAAAGCAGTTGTTTCGCTCATAACTTTGAAACCGAGCAGCAATGGCACGAACCTTTCACACATATCATATATATTATGAGCCCTACAAACCCGCAAAAGATGAATCGAAATCGTGCGAATCACTTGGGAACGTTCCCTCGTAAGGAATGCCTCGAACCTTCTAGAATAGGGGAGGGGGAAGCAGATTGAAAGACATTTTTTCAAGAAAATCGTGCAGATAAACTGTAAAATTTTGTAAAGAATTGATTTCCTTGCTGGTAAAAATTAGTATTTTTTAATTTTTCTGGGAACGAAACGCTCACAGAAGCTTTCTAGGAACAACAGTACATGCAGTTGATCTATTAGTATAGTAAATATAAATAAATACAATGATGTTTTTGTGAAACTAAACAATTTTTTTCAAACCATTTCTCATTAATCGATGCCAATGTCTCTCAACGAGGAGTGAAGTTACTTCATTGACGTGACTGTTTCATTGTTATCATCAATTTTACATTGAAACAAAGTGTTAATTGAACGGAGAAGATATTCTACTCTTCTTTTTTAGTTTTTTTTTTTTTATAATGTTTAGGCGAGGCACAATTTTTGATCGGCGAAAATATAATGCATACAGATAGCTCAAATACGAATTGAAACGATTCTTATTAAGAATTTCATGTAAACAGACAGCCAAAATATCTTTTATCTGTTTGTACTCAATGCCAAATTTTTATCACATTCTTGCTTCTACAGATAAATTAGAGCTTCTATTTCAATTGTTAGTTGGAAAGAAGATCTCAACTTAGGAAAAAGGCTTAACGAAACATAGAATTGACAAAAGTGATTGCCAAAATAAAAGAATTCGTATGTAATTAGTACACATATCATGGAAAAATATCGAAAGTCGCCCGTTGATTTTGGTTATTTTCTAAGCGCGGGTACAACATAGAAATGCTTTAGTTTATGTTACAACAATCATTAGAAATACTATAATATTTCATCGAAAAGTCAAATAAATTTACACTTGTGTCTTGATAGTTTTCTGTGCAATTTCAAAATAGTATTGTTGGAGCAATTTTTGACTTCAATTGATTATCTATTAAAAGGAGTTATTATGTTTAACTGTTACATTTATTATTGTTAATTCTTTCAAAGCGTTATGTTGGTGATACTAAACGTTCATCGGCAGCCGGTCTTTTTCATGTTTGTCTACTTGTTCGATTTTAAGATTGTGCTTCTTATTTTCAAATATATATCACTGAAATTGTTTGAGTCTCTATTGAGATCTAGGTAACGAATGGGTGACGATTGCCGATTTTCAACATGGCTGATAAACTAGTAGATGTTGTAGCTAAGTGTAAAGCTGATGTTTTTCTTTTTTCTATCTATGAAGTTGAAAAGTATGAGAATCTATTGATTCCTACATGATGATAGGTTTTCTATATCAGTCATTAAATGAAAAATTACGTAGGTCGCTGTTAACATCCACTGATTAAGAATAATTTCGAAGGGACTCCCAATTGTTAATTCCATCTTCTACATAGCATTCATCTATTATTAAAACATCAAACAATATTCAAATATCAAAGTAAATTCTTTTCTACTCAATAGTATATTTTTAATCAATATAACCAATACCGTTTTGTACTAACGAGAAATATATATTGCAGATTTTTTTTCTTGTTTTTCTCAAGATTAAACTTTATATATATTCGACTAAACAAGAAAATTTTAACTAAAACTAGATATAATAAAAATGAATGCCATACCTACTATATAGATTATTATAGAAGAGAGCTCCGAATGGAGTGAAATCAGGGACGGCGCGAAGTAGTAAGAGTAGGGGGGGGGTTATTTTTTAAAATGGGAGGAAAATCAAAAAAGATCTATAAAAAGCTAGAAATTTAGTTTAAACTGTTAAAAGATATTGGTACTCTTGAGTAACTAATGGAATAAATGATTTTCGTTCATGAATAAATTTACTTGCATTAGCAATCGTTTCACATTCATATATTTTCTCTTTGAATAATTGTATTTCGCTGTACAACAAGACACTATCATTAACCTGTACCATTTTACTTATATTATCAGCATCTGTTGCAGTAAACCTCACGATATATTCAGGAGATAATGCTACTAAAGACTCAATATTTATACCCATAGACATTACACGTTGTTTGTATTCTGTAATTAATTGATCGATAACTTGTCGAAATGTTTTCTATCCCTATTCAATTCTCCCCAGACGAATCTCCAAGGAGTCGAGTGGTGTCACATCTCCAAGACTTTGGAGATACCACCACATCCCCCACAGAAGATGCCGCATCTCCAGCTGGAGACGTGACACCCACATTCGGGAGATGCAGTCATTCACCACTGGAGATGTAAGATCGCCTTTAAAGTTGCGCATCCCCCATACCCGCACCCGCATCTCTCGCAGGAGATGTAGTGACATTTCCAAAATTTGGATATGTGACACTGCTGAAAAACTGGCTGGGGAGTCCTTCGAGATCCCAAGGAGTGGGCAGGTAGTCCATAGGGACTTCTACAGGGACTCCCTAGTCATTTTTTAGAAGTCTCGGAAGTTTTTGAAGACGCTTTTGGATATTTTACTTAGGTTTCTGATAGTTTCGATAGAGATTTTTTCATCTTTTTCCTAACCCCCCGAGGATTCATGACAGTGACTCCGCAGAAGTTCCAATATTGACGAGGTACTTCTTGGGGATTCGTCTGGGAAGAGTAGACTAGGGTATAGTATTCTGTACTAAAGGAGCGGATTCGCATTTTTCTTTGGTTAATCAATCCGACTGCGACTAATTGTGCATCAATGAAGTAGAAGCAATTGTTATTTTACATTATCACAAACACAGAATTTATATACCAATTTGTTCTTATAATTGTTATCAGTTGTCTTTTTTTTACTAGAAAATGTTTTAGGAAAGAAAAAGAGGAAAAACCTCCCATTTCCATCTTCAGAAAACTGCAAGACATATTTCCAAAATTCATGAGGCCTGAACACTAAAATTTTTCCGAATCAAAGTCTCAGATTAACTTCCTTTTTTTCTCAAAAAATACCTCTGAATTTTATTCTATTAGTGAGAGATTATCTTTAATTTGGGAGGAAAAATCTCTTCTATTTTCTTCAAATCAGAGGAAAACTGAAGTCAAAATTTCCAAAGTAGGAGAGGGGAACCCCCACCAACCCACCCCCTCCCTGTTCGCGCCGTCCCTGATTTTGGTTAACATTTGTGCTATGTTACAGAGACTACCGATCGAAGTTGGAACCTATTCCAAATCTGCTAAGGATACTATTTATAATGCGAGCAAAGTACTTTTCGAAAGAATACCTAATTATTTCCCCAGAAATTTTCAGTTTTTCAAACAATATAGGAATACAGAAAAAAAACATTGTCTATTGAGGGATACATTTTAAAAAATACAAAAAATATAGTTCCATGACGAAGTCACTTTAGAATAAAATAATTGATACGATCAACTGAGTAAAACTGTAATTCATATTCATAAGAGAATTGATCTGATACACATCGAACGTTAGTCACATTTTAGTTCGAGAACATCAAGTAAAGACTAGCTCGCTTCGGGTTAGCTCTGACTATGAAAAACAAAATTTGTGAATCTGGGGTAGGTTATGCTATTCGAATATTTCACATAGAAACAATTTTGAACGTTGCCTTCGGTCTAAACTTCAATTCACTGACGTTACAAATAGTTGTCGAAACACGAGATTGTTTGCTCTGTTCTGCTGTTTTAGAACTGTTCATTATTGATAGTTGACGACGAAACACAAAAATTTTATCAATAATGAACGTTGATAGACACATATATTTCAATTCATAACAAACAAACAGTTAACAAGATTTGAGAGAAAACTAATAATCGCATTCAGCATCGTTTGATACTGTATTTATATATATAGAATCAAATTTCTTCCAAACATAAAAGTTTACAGAGATGCTCAACTATAAGGCGCTTGGTTTTTTATAACTAATGATATTATAGACTTCGCTTTTCGACTTTGCCTTCGATTAACTAATGTTTGTTCATCGATTGTTCCTATAATATAATCTTTTTCTTCGTTGAGTTCTCCAATAAACGATCGAATAGTACCGAAGATTGAAATATTATTGCTGGATTGATTTCCATTATTGATTGATTCATTGTGATTGACTTCTGAAAAGACTTGATTATCGTTGTAATCCAATTCTGAAGCTGATGGTCTTGTTAATTGATGAAGCAATCGATCAAAAAAACTCATACTTTTTTCATGATAACTTTCATCCGATTCCATGTTTTCATTCAATTGAAACACATCAGATTTTTGACGTATTCCGTCTTTTTCTAACATTTGTTTCTCTTGTGTTTCAATTACTTGTTTAGGTGATAATGATAAATGATCTTCCATTTCTGTATTTATTTCATTATTAGTTTTAAAATACAGACCATCAGGTGATAAAACATCAGGAGAAATATCTTTTATCGTTGAAAACTGATTAGATGTATCACACTTTGTTATAGGTGATGTACTCTAAATAAGATCATCAATAATAGACAAAACAGATGAGAGAAGAAACGTTTTCGTGAAATATTTACCGCCCAATATTTAGCTTCATCCTCAGTCATCACAGTATAAATTTCGACTTTCTTCTTTCTATTCGTAATTGGCCTCGTTTTAGATTAATGTCGACATGAAAAAAAAAAGAAATGTTCTTTTTTATATAATTTGCACGCGTCCCTTCACACATGCTCACAGTTTGAAAATAAACGCTATATTTTCTTTTTCGTTACTATCATTTTATACTGAAGACAACACATTTGTTTATCTCTTGGTGCGTAGTGAGGACGAGAAGGAAGTAAACATAGAGACTCAGTTGTAGCTTTTAATCACGGTCTTGCTATGTGAGTTGAATAAATTATTTAATTCGTAGTTTATTTAATTTTAATTTTGTTCTAATAGTTTTTGATATTTTTCAAAATCAGTCAAGTTCGACTGAATGAGTATACATATGATGAGATCAAACAACTGATATACAATTTGAGTATAAAGTGAATCAATTAATTTGTTACTAATCAGTCTGCGCAACGCAAATGACTCGATCAAAATTGTTATTGTATAAGTAATTATTTGAATATTATTAAAATTGAGAATAGTCTGTATTATTTAAGAATAATTGATAGTCATTTAAAAGAACATATACTATTAATGCAATGTAAAACTGACGATTTATCTAATCGTTTGCAAGTGTCTCTTTCTTTCTTGACGTAAATAATAAACATGAAAAGAATTATTATTTTGAGTCGTGATGACCCTAAAAATAAAACTGCATAGATAATAATTCAGAATCGAACTAATATCGTTTTCCCAATCGTTTGAAAAATATTCTATTTTGGTTATGACCAGAAGCTATAAATCAATGATAGATATTGATGAACTAAATCTTTCTTGAAATTTTGAGATAATCATCAAGAATTTCCACTAAAATATGATAAATCTATTCGTAATAATTATTACTTAGAATCGACAAGTATATAAAATCATATATATATAAGAATTCTAAATAGGATGGAATATGATGTGCAACGATATACGTCCCATGTGATTTTATTTTCTCATTCTTATAAAAAATGATGATTATATTTCATGAAATATTGACTCCGAGAAATGATATCTAGATTCCATCACTATTAGGACTTTCTATGGTGTCATCAATGGCATCTTTCATCATTAAAAACTTATATTTCTTTTCAAATTGTTGTATTTATACATAAAAACTTATATATATATATATCTATATATTATAGAATTTTAAAGATAATTAGAATAATATCAGAAATGAAGTTCTATCCACATTCAAATCGTCTTCAACTGTTGTAGCCAAGCAGACATTTCAATGCTGTTTCAGGAATGATTGGCGATTTGTCTTATTTAACATACGAATGATTAGAGGATAGTTTGACCATCATTTCCTCAGTGTTTATTTCGATTATTCTTGTGTATGCGAAGTTCGAAGAAGTTTTGTGCTCACTGATAACTGAAAACAGTTCGACATATAATCGGGTTATTAGTTTCTGAATGGATTTTGATAGATCAATGTTCATCTTCTATTCTACATATGTTATTATTAATCATAGATCACCGTTTTCTCATAATGATAAAAATGGAATCGAATAATCAAAAGCTCATTCACAAGCTGACAATAATTATCGAAACAAAAAACCGGATAGACAAATCATGCTTGAATTTCTTTACGAAATCTAATTAAACAAAGCTCATGTCAATGAAATCTATTAAATGAAAATCTGGTTGACAATAATTATCTAGCATAAATTTTCAAACTGACTCGGCAGATTGATAGAAAAACTGTTCGTTGAAGGCTCAATTTTCACTATGAAAATACACAATCACAGAAAGAGTTGTATATCACTGAAGTTTTTGCATAAGATCACATCAAATCATGTTCATATTGGGTATCTTATATAGATCGACTCTTGGGCAACAATCTTCTCTGGAGGGCTGGTGAAAAAACTTTTCAAGCCTCCAATGTATATTTTTTCGTTGTACGCTCAATTTGATCGTTCCATTGACTTATTTATATCATCTATATCAATTTATATTAAATATATCTGATTGGAGCCAATAGATTTATATTGGTTAGCAACATACGAAAAAGTGATTTGTTTTTCTAGATAAAATCTCTTTAATAAGAAAAAAAGGATTATGTTTAGCGTTGTTACGAACACTGGATTAAATTAATTCTTTACTAAGTGACTTTGTTTTATTTTTTCTTTTAATTTAAGTTTAATAATTTAGAAAAAGGATTTAACAAATTGAGTAATAAACAAAAAGCATTTATTATTCAGTGCAATTGTACTAATATTACTTGTTGAACTTAGTGTATTGGTTTTTAGTATCAATAAATTCATTCCCATTTATTTAGTTAGAATCGATCTCTTTTTCTTTGATTGTATACGTGTATAGATAACAAAATTTATATTAATTTGTCGAAATAAACTACAGACGAGACAATAAATAAATAAATAAAGAGTCACAATTCATTTTGTTTTTTTTGTCTTTTTGTTTTTTAAATTGAATTCTAATACCTAAAAGAAACAAAACATAAAAATTGAAGAAAGTTATCTATGGATTTATTTTAATATTAATCCGAGAATCTTGACTCATGTGTTTAATTTGAATAGACAAAAAAGAGGAAAAAAATCAATGAAATGAAAACATTAGAATTTTTCAATAGAAATCAACGTGATAATATCATTAAAATAAAACTGAATTAAGAAAATTATTTGACTTAATTATTGATGCAATTAAAAATCAAATGCAATACAAGAAAAAGAATTTTTGAAATGTGCTATGTCAATTGCATTGTTAAATGTTTTTTTCTTTGAAATCTTTTATAGTAATTTAGAGTAATTTTATTTTCATAAATGTTTATTTTATTTAGTATGAGATGAAATAAAATAAACATTACGAATGATATTAATTATTCTCATTTGATTTCAAATATTTATGAGATGCTCAAAAGATTCTCATGAATTCTCATCTTTGCTTATGATCGTGTCAAAATAAAATCTATGTCAACATTATTTACTCAAAGATGTATATAGTAACATTATCTCGTACTATAGACTAGAGCAGATTATTTACTTTTGTTTTCATCATTGATGTTAATAATTTTTTAATGATTCAATATAATGTCGATGAGATTTTTCGATTAAATGCTTTAAAAATATTTAATAATAGTTTCTTGATTAGCATACAAACGAAAAATAAAATATATATCATATAGAAACTCAAAAGAAAGATCTTTGTTTCTAAAAATTTAAATAAAATAAACATTCAACTATAGTGATCTAGTTTTTCATAGGCTATGTACTTTTATTAAATATTAATCCATGATTGGCGACGTCGATATATGTCGTCATTCTATTGATATGTATTAGTTCAGTGAAGAAGAATGAAATCATTGCAGTTCAATAGAAGGTAGAACAAAGTAATATAATGTGTTTGAATGGATTCTTTCATTCAAGTTTGAGTAGAGAAAACAGCTGTAAAATCGAGAAGTTCCTACAAATTTTTATCGATTTATTGTTTACAAAGTGATCATCTGCGCTCTTGCTGTTGTATTTGAAGTATTAACATAATTTTTATCATGAATGTAGAAATGACATATACTCGTTTACAAAACAGAAAGACCTATTAGTAAATCTTCTTATTTACAACACAAGCGGTTTGATCATGTTTTATATTAAAACCATCATAGAATTGCATTAAAAGATCTTTCTCATTCTTAATAAGCAAATCTATATTTGTATGTTAAAAAGATAAATTTTCATATTCTCGAAATTTGTGCCATATTAATTAGCTATGAAAAGAATGAACACAAATAAAATTTACAGTATTTATTAAAAAATTCCATATTACATTGTAAAAAAACAATATATATTATTCAATAACATTTAATTGTATATAGTCAAACAAAACATTGCGGTAACCACAATCTGATTTAGTTCGAAATCCAAAATAAATATCTGATACTTCGAATACTTTTATATAACCCATTGTTTGATGAAACCAATATTGATTACCATATAATAAATAGTTTGATTCAAACCAATCAAAATTCATTTTTTTTCCATTACATTCACAATCAAGACCATGATCAGCTAGTGCATAAAAATAACAATTCATACTTTTTTCTAATTTATGGTTTTTACTACAACATTCATTATAATATGTTAAATATTGATTGTTCTTATCCAGCTTAATACGACATTTTATTTCATAGACTCCAGGTAATATTGATTTAAATTTACCTTTTATACCAGCTAGATAGAGCGATGGAACTGAATATAAGCGCACACATCGACCTGTTAAACAATTTAAATCATATTCATGTATTGGATATTTGATATTGAAACATCTTTCATGATTTCGTGTACAACTTTGATTTATTTCAAACAAATCAACACCTAATAAACGTTTGGGTTGAATTAAATAAAAATAAATAAATTTATACATTGATATTACTAGAATGTTTTCTTTATTTAAATATTTATTTGTGTTGAAATAATATTCAAATAATTCTTCGATTGTTAAAGACATGTTTAATTGATTTGTTGTACGTGGATGCTCTTTTTGTTTAACTATACTTTGATGAGCTATATAACCATCATTATTATCTTTACCATTTAATACATTCAATAACCATATATTACACACATGCAAACCTTCATATCTTCGAAAATATTTCTCAAATTTTTGTTTATCTTTTTCTGTACGATATAAATCATAATCAGAATTTTTTTTGTTTTGAAATATTTCATTAACATAACGATGATACAATTTCGATCCAAAATGATTTTGAATTAATATCATCCAAAAATAATTATCTTTTTCAATTAATATATATAATTTTTTGCATGTTTTTGATAAACTTATTATGTCAACCAGAGATAAATATTTACATAATGTATAAAAAACATGATGCGGAAGATTATTTATAGACATTTTCATCTGAAAAAAAAAAATATATATAGTAAATCTTGATAGATTATCAATAATATAGGAAAAAACATGAAACCTAAAAGTAAATTTAAAGTAACATGATCGACTTTATTCAAAAACAAAACAACAAGAAAGAATGAAAGTTTTTGTCGTTTGGCACTAATGAACTGCTTTAACCTTCTAATCTATTAACACTCTAACCTATGAATATCTCCGAGATAATTACTTTCTTTTTTGGTATCTATTCTTTCAATGCTTTATTTTTATAAACAAAATATTTAATTAATCAACTTTGTATTGCTCTATAACGGAGAAGATATCAACTAAAAAAAGATTAGTTTCTTAATCGAACGAAATCAGTACTACTCGGATGTCTATGTTCTCATTTTCGAGAAGATGATGGGTGTTTATTTTTTTATTCCAATTCTGAATTACAAAGTCAGAAAGTCTGCTTTATTAATAGAACATAATACATTTAAGCTGTGTGCTAGCAGAGATCATAGTCTCGAAAAGACAACCTTTGCATTCACCATCATCATCAACTGAGTGCTCGAATCATGCTTGCCAAATCTCTTCATTTGACCACGAACCTGATTTTTGAATTTTTCTCCTCATAAAAAATCCTCTGGAGTCAGGAGCTGATTTTCAATATTTTCTTTTGATTTATAGTTTTTCTCTTATTTGGTTGTTGGCGACATTTTAAATCAATATTATAATATGTCCCAGAACTTTTATCCAGCACTGTATTGTAGTTTAATGGCTACAGTAACGAATAAGAAAATACATAGCTTTTATTTCGTTTTTCTCGAACCAAAGTCATCAATTATGTGCAGTGACTGTATACAAAGCACTTGTTCTACTAGAGAAAGAAGCATAGTACATACGATGTGTGTTCTATGTGCTCGTCGCGAGAACATGCTATTAGTGAGGCATATTACTCACGAGATAGTAATTTTGCTACACAATTTGAATCATAGTTGGTAAATGATACTAGTTCTGTTCTATCAAAGAGCATTTCAAAACTCAGCGTAGTTACTTCATCATGATTAGCTGTAAATAAATAATATGCATCAAAGCTGAAAAAAAGAATTGTTATCAAAAGTCTGCTTTCTATATTTTTACGAGAATGTACCAATGATTCAACAAAATCATTCTGTATTATTTGTAATGTTAAGTTCTTTACAGCAAGCAGTGAAGTTGATGATATTAATCACTATGACCGCAAACAGACCAACTTAATGCAAAGTGAAATAATGAAGGTAATGGGCATTGTTACATAGAAACAGCAATCATGTGTCTTAATTCACTTTGGATTAAATCGGTCTGTTTGAGGCCAATGTGTAAACAAGAAGACAACAATAATGTGCAAAATCAGTTGAAGTTAATCTATGTAAAATTTATCATAATCGATTTTACGGGTAAAATCTATTTCTTTGTGATTGTTTTCTTTCAAAAACTATTAATGCAACATACGTATCATATAAGAACCCAGGCCGATCAACTTGTGTCGTATACGGTCGTTTGGTATGCACCGTATTACGGTCGTTTTGCATTGTGCCATAAACGATCATATACGGTCGGATACTAAAATATCCGACCACATTACGACCGTTAGTAACCGTTTACGACACGGCGAAATACGGTGCATGCCAAAACGTCAAATTACGGTAATTTACGGTCGGAAGCGTTATAAAACGGTAGTATACGTTGCCGTTTACGATCGTATCAGGTCGTCGTAATGTTCAACCTGGGAACATTTGAAATTGATGGATGAAACGTTGCTGATAGTGCTAAGATGTTTCTTGCTAGAAAGCATTTTCAAAATTATATTTCACAACATAAATCAATACGCTTGCTTCTATTCTTTCCGGATTTTTTTGCAAAAATATTGAGCAAAATTATTTTTCTATGTGGTGAACGTAGAATTCGTGTCTGAGAAAACACGATCCCGAAAATCAGATGAGCATCTGGTAAACAAAATCCTGAATGGCTATGCAAGATCTCTCTCAACTGAAAAGAATTTTGTATTTCTTGAAAATCAAGTTTGATTCCTTTTTATCTTAGAGTAGAGTAATATCTTGGATAATCTAGCAAGATTTCTAAGTTTTATTTTCATGATTAGTATGGACCTATTGTAGTCTCATTTTCCATGCTATTTTACTGTAGAAATTTTCAGGAATTAAAAATATGGAGAAAAGAAGTGATCAATAAATAATACAACGAAAAAATTGGAGGCCCTCATAAAAAAGAAAGAAACAGAATTAAAAAACATTTCCAAAGAATGCTCATCAATTAGTTTACAAAAACAAGTTAAGAGAAAAAACAAATCATTTATTAAAAATTAACTTACCTTGTTTGTATAGTATGTGAACGATAAAATATACATTGCAGAAATGAGCGAAAAGTACATGTAAATGATTCATATGGAGATATGAGAAACAGTAGATGATTATCTGTCTTTCAAATCTGACATGAATGTTTTTATCGTTCTATTAATTGATATAAATAATTTTTCCTGAACTTGGCAATGAAACAGTTTCGACTGATATATTAGAAAACAGAATTTAGAAAAAATGAAGACAAGAAATCCTAATTGGTGAAGTGTATGTAATAGATATAGCTAAAAAATTATTTTCTGACACTTCTATAGCAGAAAACATAACTTGTGATAAAATTCAAGTGAAAATAATGTCAATTGAATCAGATTATTGATCATTAATTTGATATGCAAGAGACAAAAGCATTTACGTGAGCGAAACTTCAAATTTTTTATGAAAAAAATCATGAAATGCTTTTTTAACTTCTAATAATAAAGCTTCTGAATTTTCTCCTGATTTATAAAAGAAAATCTTCTGTTAAACTTCTAGTGTTTTTTACAAAAACGCCTGCTTTCTGAAGTTTCAATTTGTCAAGTCTAGTTCGAATCCATCTAATCCTAATTCGTTTTATCTGATGACAAACTACAATATTAAATGTATAAGAAACTTAAAAAAAGCAATTCTTAAGACTTGTTAATAAAAGAAATAATAATCTTCACTTGATTTTATTATCACAAGAAAAATATCAATAAAATGACTAGATCATTCTTATATAAGCCTTGAGCTTGAATCTGAAGTGCCACATGCTGACAAACATGATCTTGATCATAGACGTCAATCATCATCATCATCAGTTTGATCATTTTCATCCTATTATCGAGAAAAGAAAATTTTCACATTATAGTTTACAAGTAGAACTTGATAAATCTTTACGTCAATAGCATAATTAATCCTTGTAGCGACGTTAGTTTAACGCACTATTTCTCTAATGTAATATTAACAAATTTTGTATTTTAATAGAGTAGTATACTATGGCGGCATGCAGCCATTTGGCTCGAGCATAATAGGATCTGTAGAATTCCATCTTTGCGAAAGTTTTTCACCGTTTCTCAACATTTTCTGAAGAAAAACTGACGGCACAGTTCGCTAGAGAAAAAATGTTCCCATCTACTTATATTGGAACGATTTTCTGCCTCTACAAAAAATTATATAATTCATAGTTCACTAATGATTTGTTATTCTGTCTATATTTTGTTCGTTCTGACTGATTACTATTAAAAAGTGAAAGCAACGAGAACATATAAGAGCTTACATATAGTAGTAATTGAATTTTACCACTGAAAAGAAACAATTTTTTATTTTTATTTCTATATGGATTGAAATAAAATAAACTTACAGATAGGCATTAAATTCTGTTCGAACCTAAACCAGAAAATATTCAATAATTGCTACAAGATATGTTGTCATACGATACTTGTTTAATATCATTTAATTGTTGATATGTTCCTGACTCAGCTGCTTCTTTTTCAAGTAATTCAATGTTTATATTTAAAGATTTAAATAAAGTTCGATAAGGTGTAAAGGATAATATGTTATATTTTATCTAAATATCAAGAACAGAACGATTTACTCAACTTATTTTTCAAACAAATATCATACTTACGAAACATTTCTGGAGTTCTTTTAATATATATATCAAGACTTTAATTCCATCATCAACATCATCATCTTGTGATAATCCTCCTATCCATTGCAAAAATATATGCTCGGCCTCACTATTTCTACAGTATATAATAATATAAAGTACCACCGACAAAAGAAAACTAAAATAGAAAAACTTTCAAGTTTTGTTTTATATTTCTAGTCCTTACTGAGATGATTCACCAAAATCAAAATAATCAGTTATTACAATAACAAGACAAGATAAAATTTTAGTATCCATGGTACTTATTGGATGAGGATCAATATATGTATATAGATTATGATAGACATTCATTGTCTCTTGATAAATTGCATCAGCAGCGACTCGATCAATAGCATGATGAAATGTGAGATGATTGATCACTTTATTCAATAAATTAGATGCAGAAGCCATTGACGAATATTCCAAAGATAATCAATATAACAAGTTCCAAAGTATTAAAAATAGATGAGATTAAATTCAAATCTGTCAAGTAAAAAACATCTTGAAAAGTTAAGACTCCAAAATAATCGAGACAAATGAAATGTCTGAATTGAAACGGATTCATTAACAATAGAAGTTTGTCCCTCAAATTATATTTCAATCAATTAAAAATACTGGCGCCATCTATAATCAACTCAAGATGCAATAAATATATTTTTCAAGAGAATTATAAAAGAGAATTATTTCAATAAAACTCTGAACATATAAGCCAAGATATCTTACAGAAAATTGTTTCTAGAAATTAAAATAATATCACAAATTACCTATTTAATTCGTTTATTTATTGAACTAGTAGTATACTGTCTCTCGTCAATGATTTATGCTTTCTATGGGCCCAAACACCGAGAAAATATGAACTCACTAAGACTGAATTAAGTGTTTGAGCCCTATACCAGATTTAGAAGTGGCTGATGCACTTTGATTGTGAATATTGGGTTTTGAATTTTATTGGATGACAATTTTACAGAAGATTCAGAATTTTATTCTGAGTCGAACATACCATCGTTTTTTGGGGCAGATTCTCCAGAGATCTACAAAGGGCAAATTACTTTTTGTCACAACTGACCTCTACATTTTTCGTGTATGTATGATTGTGGTGTAGCGAATTATAAACGGTTTCGCGTTACATCTCAAGTCACAACTCAACATTTATCAAAATTATTAGGTCTCGATTGATTTTCATGTTCATCATAATTTTCCGGAGAAATTATTACTTTGAAACGAACTTAATTGTGCCGCTATAAATACAAACTGAGTGACGAAATATATTTCTCTGTCTTCTCGAGAGCTTGTTGAAAGTTTATTAAAATCTATTAAAGTAATTTCTTCTGCAGAATCTTTTATGAAAAGAGATGGTCTTCAGGACTGTCAGATGAATAGGTAAGAAATCGGACTTTTCCTACTGAAATTCGGAAAAGTTTGAAATTTCTTTTCTAAAATTCTGAAAACAGTTATCTAACTTTTCGTTTCATAAGTTAATATTTTTTTAGCAAAACATGTTTTTCTCTTTAAATATCATTTATTCCTGTATAGTTTTTCGATACTAGAGAAAAACACAGCATTTAATTCATTAGTTGAAATCCATTTTTTCAAGACAGCATCAAGTTCCCTGACGACAAGAAAAGAAAAAATAATATATGTAGACATATGGTTAAACATGTAAAGTTGCAAGAAGTTGAATATTATCAAGTTGAATACCACAATTTTCTTGTTCTACTTAAAGTTTTGTTGNCACACTTAAGTCATCTTTTTGAGACGATTTAGTGGTTAATTCTGTTTTATCTTTTTGGTCTGGTTGGGGCCTAAGGTGAGCAGAACATATACTATATCGACTTAAATACAGAGAATCATACAATGGTTATGAGAAAAGTAAGATGATGCAGTAATAGATAGTAAAAACTGCAGTAAAGGAGAATTTTACAAAATCTCAAGATTCAGAAAAAATCGGAATAACTTCTAAATTCAAAAGAATTTGAAACTTCGGAAATAAATCAGAAAAAAATTAATAATTTGAAATTTATTACAGCGATCTGGAAGATCTGGCAACCACGTTCTGAAGTTTGGTCTTCAGATAAGCATAAGATGCATTATTTCAGTTATATTTTGTCGGTATTTTTTCAGAAACTTTTCGATGATTGTTGTCTACATTTCACTGAATAAAATAAAGAGAATGATCTGCATTAGAGTATGAAAAAAAATTATTTGATCTCAGTTTTTTTTGAATAAAATCATGCAGACACACACGTTTCGAGTTGTTCGATATAAAATTTACTTTTAAATTATTATCTGATTGCGTAGATGTACTTATTGAAAAAAAAATAGGAATTCTAGGACATTATTAATACAGGGATATTCTTCAACTACAACTATGTAGGAACCTAATTTCCATTAAGACGAGCTTTAGAATCCTCTGGAAAGATTTAAAAGTGTTGCAGATTAAAGGCCGCTTTTTACTATATGCACTGTGTGTGTGTGTGTGAACTAAAAAGCAATTTTATTTCGATTTGTATAAAACAGTGAAATGAATTTGTTTTTCTCAGAAGAGAAATAGAATTTATCACATGTCATTTAATTCAAACTGCTAAAAAGACGTACAGTTCTACATAAATATGAACAAAATCTAGTTTATTACATGTTATAAAAAAAAGCTTTTTTTATTTACAAACTACAAACTAACTCTTTCATCAATATTTTTAATTTCTTGTAAGTCAAAATCGGAACAACTTTTATGAAAACCAAAACTAAAATGAAATATCGATAGAAAGATATAAATGAATGTGAATCAGAGCGAGATCCTTATCGCATCTGCACTCCTGTATGAAATTTGTTGATAAATTTTAGCAAAAAAAGAGAGAATCCTCGTATACTCATTGTATTTCATTGACTTCTCATGTTCAGTAAAAACAACTTTAATATATTCCAGTCAAAATCGAAATTTTAATTTCGAACAGAATTATATTGAACAAGTACAATCTCTTATTTTGACTGGACAAATGATCGATATGACGAAATTTCAGTTTTAACCACACTACATATATTTTGGTTCACATTTGTGCTACATTAGAAATATTACCGATCGAAGTTGGAATCGATTCCAAATCTGTTAAGGATACTATTTACCAGAGCCCCAAGCAGGCCACGTCTTGGAGACCTGTAGGTCTGTCAGCATTTTATAGCTAAAACAAACATGATGAGAGACTAGAAACTAGAGGTACATACAGAGTACCGAGTGTAATTTTATACCTGGAGGTAACTGACCAGTCATAGGCATAGACCACGAATTTCAGACCAGTACTTATCAGAGGTTCAAGCAATTTTTGGCCTGTTGACCTGTCTGAGCCTGTCAGTTTCACTGCTCCGAAAATCATGGTCTATGTCTGTGATAGGCCGGCTATCTCCAGGTATAACAGTACATTCGGTGCTCTGTATGTACCTCTAGTTTCTAGTCTCTCATCATGTTTGTTTTAGTTATAAAATGCTGACAGACCTACAGGTCTCCAAGACGTGGCCTGCTTGGGGCTCTGCTATTTACAATACGGGCAAAGTACTTTTCAAAAGAATATCTAATTATTTCCCCCAAAATCTTCAGTTTTTCATAAAATATAGGAGCACAGAAAAAATAAATAAAACATTGTCTATTATGAGATCCATTTTAAAAAATACAGTAAATATAGCTCCATGACGAAGTCACTTTAGAATAAAATAATTGATACGATCAACTGAGTAAAACTGTAATTCATAATCATAAGAGAATTGATCTGATACACATCGAACGTTAGTCACACTTTAGTTCGAGAACATCAAGTAAAGACTAGCTCGCTTCTAGGGGTATGACAGTTCAGTTTTAGTTCAAATCATTAGAACTGTTCGAATAGATCCCATAAGAGAAACCTATATCGATATAGACATCATCCCATCCAGGTCGAGCAATCATATTGTAAGATCTGATAAGATCTTGCATCTGTTCTTATATAATCTTGCACGATCATACGAAAACCATACAAACAATCGTAGTTCCTGAGATCTTAGATTTGGTTGAACAATCAGATTCTTCAAGGATCGCATTAATATGTAAAATCTTTCAAGAATCTGATTGTGCGAATTGATCTCAGATCTCAGGAACTACGATTTTTTGTCAGATTCTTGTAAGATTTCGCCCGTATTCCAAGATCTTGTATGTGCTTCATAATTTATTTCTTATCTATTTTGTACAGAATTTAATTTTCTACAAAATGCAATCCATCATTTTTTTTTGTAAAACCTACTAAAATTGCTCAGAACCGACAAACTTTATGTTCCATCTGTGAATATTCACGGCATACACCAACACAAGCGTCATCTATGGAGTATAACCTATTAAAGCGTATACTTAAGTTTGTTGGTTATGGGGAATTTTTTTAGGTTTTACAAAAAAAAAATGATGGATTGCATCTTGTAGAAAATTTAATTCTGTACAAAATAGATAAGAAATAAAAATCTGAAATTACATTACTGATAGAAAAAGAATTATTTAAATTTGGAAATTGATGACTAACCAGAACAGAAAGTCTTAAAAAATCTGTCATTTAAACATTTTTTTTTCACGAAAACTAGATAGTTTTGTTCAGTTTTTCAGGCTCTCTGTTATCCACTAGTTAGCTTAGAGGCTTATTATCTCACTCGTAGTGAAATAGCACAATTAGTTGTGACCAATAGAAATTGAGTTTCGGTACTCTGCTTTATTGATGAATGATTTATATTTTATCCAAAATGTCGAGTAAATAATGCTACATCGATTGATGTATGATTCGCATTCTTTAAAGAAAATCGCTAGGTCAAAAAATGCGAATTATTGAAAATGTCTTTAAATTATGTACACCACTTTATATCTTGGACTATAATTCTAAATCAAAATGATTTCTACATTACCTTAATTATCAACACTTACTATTCTTTTAAACAGTTTTTATCTCTTTAAAATTTTAATTTTCAATAAACTCAATTAACATTAAAATCATTTTTTTCTGAATTCAATTTAAATATTTAAAACACAGTCAGAAAATTACATTGTGAATTATCGTGGTTGTGGGTGTGGGTTAGGTTGAATAGTAGATGACATCTACACCAACGCAAACACCCACACCCATACCCATAAACAAAGACCAGTGCACAAAAAGTGTTAGGCAAACATATGTTCGAGACAAAAGTTTATTCATCTGAAAGAGTAATTGCACAAGCAAAAAGCGATATTTACTTCGTTCTTTTTCCTGCGAGTGATTTGATGTGTTTGTCAAACTGGGAAAAATACTGGGTTTTTTTTACAAGACTTGAGTTGTATTTAAGCGTTCTCCTTCTAGTTAATTTTTTTATAAAGTCAAAGCAAATTTCATTGTGATTCTATTTGCAATTGAACAATTCTTTCTTTATTTTAGACTTTTTTTAGGAAGCACATCATGCCATTGAATTCATTCAAATCTAAGGATATCAATGCAAAACCGAATCGTCGTGACTCTCACGAATCAACAACTAGACGTGTTGGAGTTAATCCAACATTATGTAGATACGGCGGTGATTGTCGCACAAAGGGTTGTACATTTACACATGTGAACCCACCGAAAGATGGAACGACGAAAACGTCTGATTGCAAATATGATGTAAATTGTACTCGACTTGGTTGCCATTTCAATCATCCTAATGGTAGATTAATTGATCAGAAAATGGTTTCTTTACCTGACGCTAATCAACAAAACACTGCGTCTAGCCGTGTTGTTTCCCAGTCACCTCACTTAGAAAAACGCGCTCACCAACGTCATCAACAACTATCCGAGAGTGAACTTATTGAAATCATCGATCAATTTCTATCAAAAGTAGAAGAATTCGACACTAATGATCAAGAATCCAACAATAGTGATAATGAACAAGTACTTGACATTCTTGAACAGAATGCACTACAAGAATTAAGATTACAAAAATTTGAATTTCAGTCAGCCATCAACCATCTAACTGCAGAATATAACTCCATTCTTTCATCGACAACGGATAAAAAATATAATTTACTACAACTTCGACGTATAAAACAAAAACTGGAACGTGAATTAAAGCATTGGGAATCACGTCTTCCTATTTATGCAAGACGCTCTGATATTATTGAAAAATTGGAAAAAAATCAAGTTTTGATTCTAAAAGCTGATACAGGCTCAGGAAAGAGTACACAAACAGTTCAGTACATATGTGATGCACATTTCATTGACGAAAGTAAATGATCATATTATTCTATCGCTTTCCTTTTAATCTATAACGATTGTATGGCTATTTTAGAACAAATCATATGTACTCAACCACGTAAATTAGCAGCACGATCTCTAGCAGCTCGGGTAGCCGAAGAATATGGATGTGAGATTGGTGAAGAAGTAAGTTAATTCTCAATCCTGAAAGGATGAGTCTTCACAACGGAAATTCGTCTGTTTGTCCGATGTCTGATTGGTGGGTCAGGGAACCAATAGAAATCGAGTTTCTCAGAAAATGGCTCCCAGTAGGTATTTCAGGGTGGGGAGTTCGAATATGAGCCTCATTGGCCTCGCAACCCTATTGGTGGGCCAGGGAACCAATAGGAATCGAGTTTCTCAGAAAATGGCTCCCCGTATGTAGTTCAGTATTGGGGGTTCGAGTGTGAGCCCATTAGCCTTAAAACTTTCCTTTCTGTCTGAGTGACCAATTAATGAGAAGTTCAGAAAGAAAGCTAACTGAAAGATGTTAAGGAAAGCGAAGTTTGAAATTGACTTTCTTTCTAAATGGCTTGAAACGCTGTTTTCAGAGTGAATACCTTTGTACATAATGGATAAGGTTCAACGAATTATTTTTTCTTAAGAAGGTTTGGATCAAGAATACGATTGATTCCCGATTTTTCTGCCACGCATGAGATGCTTTTCTCAGATTTTTGTGGGCATCGCCTTGCGTTCTTGGTTTTATTCTGCTAATGAGATTGGTTTTTTCTTTGTCGCTTTTCTGAAAAATAGGGTCACCAGCATTAAATTGGTTGCATGTTCAGTTTGTCTCTACAATCTTTCCGAAAGCAGTGTGCGCTCACGATTTAGAAACTGGTCGAGTGAAAAAAAGGCATTGCGACAGATGTTTTTCAAGAAACTTTATATTTTGCAGAAGGAGGCTCAATCAGATGTGATTGAATCTAGAAAATGAGCAGAATAACATTTTTTGGAAACTGTGGTTACTATCTTTGCAGAATATTTTTTATAAAGCAGGCACACAAGCTGTAATTAACGCCGAAACACTATGTTTTGATTGGAATTCGGCGTGAGAAACTGCTATAACAGGTTCAGTGAGCTTTTCCCCAAAAATGGAAGGAGGGCACACTGAAGCGACGAGGAGCTACTTTCCTACCTTCGAATGAAAAGCATTTTTACATCGTTGCGAGGAAAATGTTTGATTGTTTTATCGAGTGTCTGACTGCGGTAAACAGAATGCAAAAAGAAGATCGTTTGATCTCGTAGTAGTGTAACCATGAGGTAGACTGGAGTTGAGTAAGGGTGTCTTAAGAAGGTTTTAGTACTCACGCAAAATTGTGTGATGTTTAGCTTCATCTTACTCAATACTCGATATTGTTTTTCGACCGAAGGTCACAATAAGGTTGACTTCCGAAATTAGTCGATTAAACGACAACCATTTTTCGGTCAGAAAAATTATATCCTTGCTTCTTATATTGAACAGGGAATTATTAGTCCAGAATATTCGTATATCACCTCTATAAGAAACAGCATTTAGATTTTTTGTTATATACCCAAGATCGGCCCAACTGCAAATGATTTGTTTTAGTTGGTGAATGCTATCAGAAATCTCTATCACTACTGCTTCCGCTGAGCGGTGCAAGTGTGACTGCGTCGTTTTGTTCAGAGCTATTTTTTACTCCATATATTTGTTCGTAATGTTTTCATCGAAACAATGTTCTCGTGATTTATTTTTCAAACAGATCATAAGAATTCTTGTCACATTGTCTTAAATTTTACTCGAAAATAACAAGATCGAATTTCACTACTTAAGATTTATTGGGTGGGAAATGAACGACGCATAAAAATTGATTGTAATACGTTTTTTTCCTGAGAAAAGGATGACATCGCGACTATAGCCATTTCTAATGAACCACGTCGTGACAGTCCCAATAAAAAATTTTATTCAAACATATTTTTTCGTATATTCTCGTCTGATCTGTAGGTCTACTTTTTTTACGAAAAGCCTCGAGTTGATTATGAATCGAGTCAGTAGAGCGATCAGATCATTAAAATTTCATTTATATCTGTGACAGACAGAAGTTCTTTCTAAAAAGTGGTGGTATTATATAGATAGTTTTCGCTCCCAAACGATTTGAAGAACATATTCTAAAGAATCCCTCGTAAAGAGTTCTAAAATTATTTGATATCTTCGTGACGCGAAAATGGTACCGTTCCCGTATGGTATGCGATATTGGTGGCAGTACATTTACGTTATAGATCGACTAACATGACATGTAATTCCATAAGGGAATGTGATTTTGTTGAAACTGTATACACTTAATGTTTTGAAAAACTTGGAGTAAGAAGGCTACAATAGGGATTTTTTCTAATGGAAAGAGTGCGGTACTCGAATGACGCGGAGCTGGTTTGGCTTGCCTAATTCGTTGTTTTACCAGCATATGCAGGAGTTATTTTTTTTACAGAGGGTGAGATCGGAATCATTAAGCTGATTCTTATTCAATTTGAACGTGGAATGTGTAGCACATGGACGGGCAGTCAGAAAACCTCGACATCAAACGCACACTCACTATTTTCGTCGAAAACATACGTGAGTTCCACAAAAATAACGCTGCCTTTGTGTATCTTTAGAAAGCGTACGGGCAACTCTAATCCGAGCCTCAAATCCTAGTTATACTGCTACCATCTACGGTATCATTTTGTTTTTGAGAGTATGATCATATTGCCTCTATCGTGCACTTTCAGGATTGAGTTAAGCGAGGCTCATGGAGCCGACGCATTACTTGCTAATTATTTGTCATATTTATATCTATTCTATTTTGACTTGTACGTTAGGTTGGTTTTCAAGTAGGTGGCGGCCGGCCTACAACTTCACATAGTACTAAAATAAAATTTGTCACTGATACACTCTTTCTCAATGAATTTCAACACAGTCCAATGTTACCACAGTATTCAATCGTCATAGTGGATGAGGCACACGAACGAAAAATCGATACAGATATAGTATTTGGATTGATGAAGCAATGTTTGAGAAAAAGAAAAGATTTAAAGGTTAGTCAAATTAATATGATTTTCAAGGGACACTTTACTGTATGGCTTATTTCTGTTTTAGCTTATTGTCATGTCAGCTACATTAGATATAGATTTACTTTATAACTACTTTGCGTCTGATTTTAAATGTGATATATTAGAAGTTGGTGGTCGAACCTATCCAATCGAAGATTTCTATCTTGATGATGATGTTGAGAATTATGTTCAAACATCAGTTGCAAAAGCTGTTGAAATACACCAAAGTGATGAAATTGGTGATATTTTGGTATTTTTAACTGGTCCCGATGAAATTGATTTAGCGTTAGCTGATTTACATAAGAAATTAGAAAATGACAAATCATACATAGGTATGCCATTGCATGGAAAATTGTCCGAAGAAGAAAATGCACAAATATTTAAAAAGATGCCAAATAAACGTAAAATTATTTTCAGTACAAATGTTGCAGAAACATCTGTTACTATTGATGGAATTAAACATGTAATCGAAAGTGGAATGGTAAAAGAGAAAATGTGGGATGACAAGAGAAAGATGCAAGTATTAAAGATCGGACAAATTACGAAAAGTTCAGTTAAACAACGACGTGGAAGAGCTGGAAGAACATCAGCTGGAAAGGTAAGAAAATTATCAACTAGAAATGATTCGACAATATTTAAGCGCGAAGGGAGTAAGCGTAGTGAAGACAATCGCTCGATTCGGACGCACACACCAAAAAGTTTTTCTTGTCATTTCAGTGCTATCATTTATATACAATTGAAACTTACGAGGCAATGGACGCTTGTTCACGTGCAGAAATTCTTTGTACTCAGCCAACAATTGCCATACTGAAATTGAAGCATTTAAACATTGATAATATAGAACTATTTGAATGGCTGCAATCTCCACCTGCTTCTAGTTTACATGAAGCCTATCAGATTCTGATGTGGCTGAATGCACTAGATTCACAAGGAAAACTGACACAACTTGGCCGAACTATGGCTCGTCTTGATATAGATCCAAAATTAACAGCTATGTTATATAAGGGAAAAGAGCTGAAGTGTCTATCCTACGCATTAATTCTCGCAGGTATGCTAACTGTATCACAGAGTATCTGGTGGAGTAGTAAAGATCAAGAATCAAAGGACATGGCTTCACGAGCACGTGCTGAATTTAGTCATAAAACTGGGGATCACATTACGTTGATTAATGTATATTTAAAATGGAATGCATTTTGTGCCAATAACGAAAATAAAAAACAACAATATGGTTGGTGTAAAAGTCACTCGGTTAATGGAAAATTATTACAGGTGGTTCAAGACTTTATTAAAGAAAAAGCCAAACAAATGGAATATGAAGTAAAAATTCCTAATAGTGAAGAATTAGATGGCCATGTAATTGATTGTCTCTTACAATGTATAACAGCTGGTCATTTTATGAACTTAGCCATATCACATGGGCCATTAAGAGCTGGCTATAAGGTTATTTCTGCTTTCTCGCAAATGACTACTGAACCAGTGACAGCACGTGTATTTCGTACATCAACTCTATGTTTAAATGACCAAATGCCAAAATATGTTTTTTTTAATGAATTACTAAGTCTCAATGGAACTAATTATATAACAGTATTGTCTTCCATTGATCTTGGCTGTCTCGAATCTGTTTCACAACAATGGTATGCAGCTGTGAATGGAACTAGTTTACATACAATTGCTTTTGAAAGCTTTTCCTTTGGAAATATTGGAGCAATCCTACTACGAGCTGTTGTTGGAAAACGTAATTGTAATTTGAATAAGCTCGAAGAAACAACTCAAACTATAGTTGATGTCGATTATAAACAATCAAGATTAACAATATGGTCACGTAAAGCTGATTTAGAAAAGGCGAAAAAAATCGTTGAAGATATGATTCAAAAAGAAAAAGAAAAATTACTAGTAGAAGCAGAAGAAATACAGATTGTAGGTAGAACCCGAATTCTGATGAGCGCAGGAGGTATTAGTCAAATGATTCTACTTGAAAGTGATTATATTAGAATCATACTGACAAAGTTGCCGACAACAATAACGGAAGAGAGAATTCGAGATTTATGTGAAACATTTGGGCAAAGTAAGTATTCATTTCTTTCTGACTTTGAATTTTGATGGGAGATCTTTTTCTTGAGGATTCTCAAGATTCAAATTTCCAAATACTTCTTTCTATGCAATATAAGAGACAAATGCTAAGAATAATCTTGCTGCTAGTCTTTATTCAAGAGCTTATATGTACTCGAGAAAAATTTTTCTAGTAAATAGAACCAAAATCGAGATCTGTACGTATTCTGTGAAACAGGACTTCAACACATTCAGAATCTACGATCGGTCGGAACGAAAAATTTTTCGAATGAGAAAATAATTCAAAGAATTTCGACAGGCCTAATAATGTAGACAACAGTTTCTGAGCGCTCGTTTTCACAAGTGAATAGTTTATGCATATCTATTCTCTCTACTACAGATCGTGAAAGGCGTGCATATACAATCATAGACTTCCGCATTGTATTTTTCGAAAAGCAGGATCTTTCTGTCAGGTCAGAGAAGAAGATTTGGAGAACACGTTTGTATTCTTACTCTAATCGTTTTAGTTCGTAGAATTGATTTCATTCGACAAAATGAAAACAGCTCGTCTGTGGCAGTGACATATTCAACTGTCGAACAAGCACGTTTCGCTTTTTGTGAATTGAATGGCTATATTGAGCAGGGTCGTGAGATTTCTGTTAGTGATTCCTGTTTGAAAACTGAAGCAGTCATAAGTAAACAAAACTGTCGCCTCAAAGCTATATGGTATCTAACAAAATCGACCGGGAACGGAAAGATTATTTTTCGACAAGAAAAAAGTGCACTCAAAGCATACGAACTATTGCAAAGTTTGAATTATCAATGTCATTATCAACGTTCAAATGATCTACCCACAATGAAAGTGGTTTACTATCTTAGTAAACATAACAGAAAGGCTTTTATTAATTTTGAATCACTTCAACAAGCACATGAAGCCGTCCTAAAAATGAATAATCCACAGACAATAACACTTGCACAAAATAAACAGAATCGCACAGGGTCAGTTCTGTTTCAAGGCTTTCCAGAAGATACTGACGAAGAAGATGTTCGCAGCTACTTTCAAGGCTGTAATGGTCTCACTGATGTACAGATTTTACGTGGAAGAAAAGGTCAAATATTTAAAAAGCCCGAATCTGCTGCAGATGATATCAAAGCAATATTTAATCGCTATACTTCATTTCAACGTGATACAATAACATTTAATCCAAAGGTATTTAATGGTAAACTTGAAGCTTCTGTTGAATTTTTGGATATGACAGAATTAACACAAGCAATCGAAGAAATGAATGGTAAAACAGGCTTTATCGGTTGTGGTAAAGTAAGATTATCGGAACGAGTCCAAAAAAACAAAAATGACGCAAATAAGAAGAAAGAAGATGAATATGTTATTCAATTGCAACGTCTTCATAAATCTTTGGATAAATATCATTTGATTAATATTTTAAAAGAAAGTCAATTGTATGATGACGTTAAAAATGTTATAATTTATCGTGAAAAATTAGAAAATAGGAATCCTACAACTAAGAGAACAGATGTTGCTTTGAAAGAAGAAGAAGATATTGGCTTAATCGGTCTTCGTTCAATGTTTCTTAGTACAAAAGATTTATTTCGTTCGGTACCTGATTGTCAAATACCATCAAGTACACCAGATGGAACAGTTACAGCGCTTGTTCTTTTTAATGATCCTATTGATATTACAACAGCTATAAAAACCTATGATAATCAAGTAATTCAACTGTTTAAAGGTTCAAGTAACCTCCGCCTAATTCCATCAATTGCACATGAAATATTTATTAATGCAGCTTTGACAAAAGCTATTCCTGATAAAATTAAACAAGCAATTCAATATATTCGTGAGAAATATAAGCGAGTTTATATAAAAGCTGTACATTCAGAAAAACCAGGGAAAGCAACTACAATGAAAATATTTATCGATGGCGATGATATACAACATATAACAGTTGCAAAAATTACATTTGATACATTGATGAAAGGAATGGAATATAGATTCGAAGATGATTCAGAGAAAGTAAGTCTCCTATCGAAAATCTCTAACTTTCTAATTACTTTTTCATCAAGTCTATTGGATAATAGATGATTGCTTATCTTGATTTCGAATATCAATATGATACAAGAAGCTAAAATTTCAGAGATCCACTTTTGAGGAAGACCATTCTGCTACTGAGACGTTTTCTTTTCTGTTCGAGTACGATTATAGAAGCCACCAGAAACAATTGTTGCTAGTCTTCACAGCAATGGTAGCCGAACAGGAAAGAAAATTTCTCTTCTCGGTTTATTTCTGTTTCTCCTATTTTCTGAGAAAATACGAAGTTATATTATTTGTTGTAGACGAGAATCATCTTTGATCGTGTTGGTACGAAATTATTGCAACAAATTCAAAATGAAACTGGCACTTACATTTGGTGGAACTATTCAAGTTCTTTTGTACGTATTTACGGCAGTGATCAAGCATCAGAAGAAGCTAGAAAACGTATAGATGAATATATTCGAGATACTTTGAGCAGTAAAAACTCTACAATTATCTTAGACATTCCATCTGGTAAATGCTGGTCTCAATTACTAATATGTTAGTTCTATAGAGTTTATGATTGTTTTATTCATAGGTTATATACGTCAAGTGTTAAAAATGAGTGTAACTTATTGGGACGTGTTTGCAAAAGAATTTAATGTTGAAATTAGTACCATGGTTGCTAAACGTCAAGTACGAGTTGTGGGTAAAGAACAGGATGTCGCAAAATGTGAAGAAGCTATTAAGCAGAGTTGGTCAACAATCATTGTAGAACAGCAGGCATTATCTAAATTACTTACAGTGGCAGCTGACGTTGAATGTCAGATTTGTTATGAGTTGGCCAATTATTTTTTACAAGCTTGTGGGCATGCCTTTTGCTTAAATTGTCTTAAGATGCAACTATCAACAAAATTTGATACAACATTAACTAATCAGAGTCTTAATATTAAATGTATGATTTCAACATGTGATTCACCACTTTTATTACGTGATATTAAAACAATAATTGATCCAAAAAATATACCAAAATTAGCACGGGCATCACTGGAAGCTTACTTGAAAGCAGATAAAGATATACAACAATGTATGGGTATTGATTGTAAACAAGTAAGAAAGTTAATTTCTGTTGAGTATGATTACTTAATGTTTATTGGATATGGGAGAATTGGAAGATCAGTAAAGCATGATAACTCTCGCAAAAAGTGGTTAAATTTTCGGATTGATAGAATTGATGATCTAGAGGTAGAGGATCTGGATTAAAGAGCCTACAGTGATCCGATTCATCTATCAAAAACGATCGGTCACTAGTTTTGTCTTTCTGCAGGATCTTTTCCATTCTATTCGTCTCACAACGACATTTTCTGCTGATTTCTATTCAACTATGTGTCAGAGAAAAGCAAATAATGTTTCAAAAACCTACTTCATTACGGGAAAATCCTGTGCTAACTTTCGCTTTCTAATAATAGAATTTGTATACGAGAAAAAACAATTTATCAAGATTTGAAGTCAGTTTTATTTTAAAGACGAGCAACATTTAGAGATTTCAATCCAATTTAAGATCGTTTTGTTCTACTTTTTAGGTTTATCGTAAATCTCAACATCCACAATCATACTTCTGTGATGTATGTCTAAAAACCTACTGCGTTAAATGTGAAGTTGAATATCATCTGGGTACTACATGTGATCAATATCAAGCACTGTTAAAATTGAAGCCAGAAGACAGATTAGCGGCATATAATATAGGTAAACCTGCATTTCTAGAAGTTGAAAAAAAAGCTTATTCTATCTTAACATTGTAATTCATTCTATCTATTCCAATCAAAGGAAACCTGATACTAAAACCATGTCCCTCATGTAAACAAGTAATTGATCGATATGAAGGATGCAATGCAGTGAAATGTAAATGTGGCATTTCATTTTGTTGGCTCTGTTTGAAGACCGATGCGAACGATAGTAAGTCAATATGATGTGTGTGAATTAAATACGAAAAAAAAACTAATCGTTATTGATCTGATTAATTGTAATTTATTTTCTACGGTTTAGTTCATCATCATTTTGGCGACCACACCTCACCGTGCTACAATAAATGCTTTTCATGAAATTAAGATGCCGAAAAGTGAAATTATAGCGGCCAAGGACAAAATTTGGAAATAGAAATGAAACTTTTTCCACTAATTTTTATTATGTTTATTTCTTGCACGATTTTATTTGCGATGTGTGTTTCTTTTTCTTCTTCTAATAATAAAATTTTGATGGAAAATGCATTAGTCATGGCTATATTTCGTTTCATATATAACATCCTCGCTTTATTTTCGTCCACTCACATATAATCACTTTCTGCTACATAAGAACATGTGACCGACAGTAATGAACAACGAGAGATAGCTATGCAATTGACACATCATGCGCCATCATGCTAAAGGACATGGATGTCAATCTTTCAATGCGTCACAAACCGGTCATATTAACCACGAACTGTATAACATGTACGGGCTCAGTTAATATAACATTTGTATCAGAGCTCGGACGAAAGTATTTTTACTTGTACTTTGCGTACTTTTCAAGTAAAAGTACAAGTGCAACTATTTGTACTTAGGGAAAAGTACTTCGTACTCATATGTTCCATTCGTTAAGACTCACCCAGTATAACTATCAAGTACTTTTACCACAGTATAAGTATAAGCACCAAATATTTTACTTGAAACACAAGTAGAAGTACCAAGTATTTTTTTTTCCAAGTACAAGTACAGGCGCAAGTATACTTGTGAAACGACAAGTAAAAGTACAGGTACATTTTTTTTAGTTCAAGTAAAAGTAAAAGTAAATATTTTCAAGTACAAGTAAAATACTTTTACTTGCAGTACTTGTACTCGTCCTAGCTCTGATTTGTATATAATAATTATTTTATGGAGTTTCTCATTGGTATTCATGATGAAGAGGTTTTACTATACTGTAGTTTTTTCAAAATCAATTTTCTACAAAAAACAATTATCTATATTTTATTGTTTACAATAATGAAAAACCAGAGTTATTATTGTCTGATGTTTTCTTAGTATTTGTGTTTTACTAATTTTTGTTTTTTAACCGATATTTTTCAGTTTTTTTCTGCACATAGAATAGTTTCGTCATTCATCGTAGAGTAATGGAAACGGTTCCGTTAGTTGAAGCCTAAGAATAGAAAAACAATGTAAACGATGTATCATTTTATCAAATAATTCGATAGAGAAATACAAGAAATTTCTAGTTCTTCTTCTTCATCTTGCTTACCAATTTTCCTTATTATAGATGGAATTGTGCGATTCAAAAATATGAAATGCACAAATTTGTCTTGTATATGACGATTTATCTAGATAGTGATACAGAATAAAATCAAACAGATCTAATCTTAAAAATTCATACTCTGTTCACTCTTGTGTGCTACTTGACCATCGATAAGAACTGCATCACCTAGATACAAGAAAAAAAACGAAATCTGGTCATCAAGGCACAAATACTGGACTCATATTTATTGTACCTGCTTTGACTTCGACGGGTATAAAAGCATTTTCGTCAAATTGATCTTCTCCCATATTAATGAGTAATTTGCCCTCATTAAATTCCTGTTCATTTGGATTACGAATATAATGTCGTCGAGTCGGCGCTAAATATTATCTCAGTGATCATAAGTCTGAACGCATACAAAAGAACATCATCTTACTGGAATGTGAACCAGGTATAAACCAGAGACATCCATTTTCGACTGTAGCATCTTCGAGAGCAATCCAAATACCATCTATTTTAAATGGCTCATTGGAAACATATGATGAGTCTCGATGAGAAGTTACTATGGGATAGGAACAGTGAAGAATATGATAGTTTCACTGATCCGTAATACTGACTTTTTTCGCCAATCAATGGCTGTTTGAAAATGTACAACGCTTGACGAATGGCAGGCTTGATGTATTGCAGGTCACGTGCAATCGCCTGAGAAATCAATTAAACAAATTATCAAAATTGATCATGTTTAACAGTTTACTTTGATTTTGTCAGAAAATGCAATTGCCTTGAAGTTCGGCTCGAGCATATGAAGATAATGGCCAATCATAGACACACTTAAATGTTTTTCCCGATTGAGTTTTCCTATATTATTCGTTTTAATATCCATTGATATAAGATCATCGACAGAAACGAAAATATTTTAATTTCTTTTCAAATACAATACCTGTTGGAGGATCGACAGCATCTTTTTCGATAAAAAATGAAATTTTATCACTACTATCAATCATTTGCCGAGCTCCTGATCGTTCTTTTGTTTCGCCATTTGGAAACATCCATGAATAGTCTTCCTCTGGTTGCCAGTCATCGATTAGTTTATTGGCAGCTGTTTTTAGTTTTTGACATTCATCAGGAGTCAATAGTTCTTTGATGACAATAAAACCTTCTTGTCTGTACTATATTTAAAAAACGAATTTCTATAGACACGTGCGCATTGTAGAAATCATACTTGGTGAAGTTGATCTTGACTCAGCATTTTGGTTGAAGAAATATTCGTATGGATTTGCGTATTCTTCTTATCATTAAATTCTCGGTTGATAAAGATAAGAACTATGAGACCAGTGTAAATCAAATGCATATGTAATGTTGATGTCGCAGAATATAGGACATGCAATATTGACAATGCAAAATAAAGAGCATGATAAATATGACCTAGAAAGAAAATGAGGCAAATCTAGAGATCTAAAATTTAGAAACAATGCATTTTACGAAATCAAGAAAAGTTATTTCTCGGAACATACTGAAAGATTTATTTTAGGTTTCAAAAATAGCAGAGATTGTGTACTGAACCCTTTTTAAAAAGCTTGTTAGCGCAGCCCCTTTGGGGCTAAAATGTGGAACTCACATATATCCCTTCGGCTTACTAAAATAAATCAAAATAATTCATCTGAAAAATCTACCCTGATTTCCACAACCTATAATTAGATCATTGCCTATTTCCACNATGGGGAGGGGGGGGTGGGGAGCCGCAAAAATCTCGCTTTTAAACTTACACTCACCATTTTCTTCGAAAATATATGTGAGTTCCACAAAACTGTTAAAGAATCAGTCTCTTACTGAGAGCTTCGAACTGAACTAACTGTCTGATGAAACAATGGCAGCATATTACCTAATAATTATTTGTACACACATCAACTACTTCAAATTTCGTAAAACACAAATCACATTTCATACTCAGCAATAACACGATTACAAATAGAGTAACATAAGCACTCTTATTGGTTTATCCCGTTCTGATAATCTAAAAAGTGCGTTTTAGTATATGATTTACGTTAGATCAAGATCATTATTAGAGTACACGGCGTGGTTGCAGAAGGCTGAGCAGATAATGAATGTACACACGATCTGTTCTTTTGATGAAGTTTATCATGTAACAAAAACAAAAGCTCACAAGTTGAGAGTTCCTCACTTGTTACTGCTATATTCTGACAAAGTATGAAAAAAATTCGATTGAAATCAATTTTATTGTCTTAGCACGAGTATCATTTTACTATAAGTATTATGTTCTGAAAGTACAATAAGCCAATTTCAAACATGATAAATAATTCTCTGCAATATTTTTTCACTATTCGCTGCAAGTTTTAGATATAGATCACTTTTTCTACAGAGAAATCTTGTGATATCCAATATCAGAATATATATGATAATAGATCAAGATACTTAATTATTAAAGTTATACCTCTCGCATTTATAGACACAGAACTAAAATGCTTGGAGCCACCCTAGTCGAATATCTTGTAAGTAAGATCTTGGGTACAGATAAGTGAACAGATCTTGAAAATTTAGGTACAAGATAATACGATTATCTTGTACCAGGATCTTGGATGACGCATTTTGAAAGTTTCCGCACAGTTTAATCTCATGAATATTTCGGTCGAGTTCGAAGATGAGAAGGGCCCCTCAATAAATGGTTGAGTTATCGAAAAAATTGTTATTTTTGACCAGACCATCCCTGAGAGGGAGTACAGGGATTTCTCAAAAAAACTTTTTTTTCTCAGAATGATCCACAACATATATAAATCGACTCAATTTTTAACGCTGATTCTGAATCTGATATTAGTTTTGAACTAAATCGTAGCTTTCTGATGAAACACCGCCTTAACGTCTCAAAATGCACAAAAACTGCATCCAGAAACCAAATTGCCTAGTTTCTCATGATACTTTTGGTGTTCAGACATTCTAGGATGACTCATATGTCCCATGCACTTTTTGCAGTACACATAACTCTCGGATGAAATCCGAAGTTTCCACATTTATTTTTTCTTATATCCTCTTTTTTTCACAAAACCCTTCGTTTCATAAACCCTTAAAGGGTTTAGCATGATTTGTAGGAAGGACAAGGATTTATTATTCTACTCTTTTTTTTTACAGTGTACGACTATCGACACATAAATGGTATATGTATGTGCCTTTTTTGTATTCTTAATGGGTACTTGGATACTATAGAAATGCAGCCATTGAGCGAGAACAAATGAATCTAATTTGGCATAATCCGGAATCATGGCTGTTGCATACAACTAAGATTAGATGTGAGCAAGAATTTCAATGATTTAAGAAATCAATTACAGAATTTTTATTAAAATTAGGCGAACCTCGAGTGAGTTTGGAAATTTTTGAAAATCAGTCAACGAAAATTACTAAGTCTTTTCAAAATCTAGGACCAAATTCCTACTGTTCCTTCATAATAGAACTTCTGTACATATTTAATTAATTATTCATTGTTTGATATAAAACGTGAATTGACTTCAATGCAAAATTCCAACCTTTCTAAAATACCAAACTTATAAAGACAGATACAATAGCTTACAAAAAACGATAGTATACGATAATATGGATAGATAATTTACGTAAATGCATAGCAAACAAATGTATCCAAACTCATAGTATAAATAGGATTCTGATGATGTTTTCAGGTTGTATTTTGACTTTAAAAAAATACCCTGCAAATAATCATTGAATCAGGTAAACGCGTGTTAGACCAAAAAACTATGCTTCTAAATATATTAAATATTACAAGAAATATATACTTTAAAATGCGAAATTAGTGCTTTTTCTTCGCATGTCTGCGTTGGAACATTGTTTCATACAATCCTTTTCCCTGGGTACCAAGAGAGAATAGAGATATTTTTACTTTTTATGTGTATATTGACGACGTATAGACAGTAGGTGACATATTACTCATAGAAAATGTAAATTTATATTTTTTCTCTCATTTTACATCAATTAACCATGAATAATCGGTTACACTAAAAGGGTCCTCCATGACTAACGAGGGAGAGCCACTAACTATTCAATCGTTTTTGAGTTGAGAATATTTGCATTATGTAGTTCCAAGAGTCACGAATACACTGAAAATATTTTTTTTGGGGGGGG